TCACCAGGAGGCAAGGTAAAAACAGTGCCCCCAAAGACCTGTCTCTGGCCCTCGCTTACACTGCTCCTGAATGGCCAAGTCAGAAGCAGAGCCCAAGTTTGCTAGTTCTGGGCTCTGTAGATTACAGCGACCTGCCCCTCCCTCCTACACATTCTCTCCCCTCTCTCTCTCTCTCTCTCTCTCTCTCTCTCTCTCTCTCTCTGCTTGCTCTCCAAGAGGCTGACTATAGAGGTCTGACTCTCCATTTCCATAGGTGAGGAGGGATCTGGGATTGCCATGGCAACGAAAGAGCTGACAGTGAAGGGTCATAAATGGGCGGGGGAATCTAATAGAGATCCGTGCTTTTCTGTTCAGGGGAGAGCAGGTGGGATGCAGCTGGGTCCAGTCTCTAGACTTCAGGTTGCTGTGCCCTGGAGGGACCCCCTGCAGGAGGGGATCCCTGGAAGGACCACAGGCAGCTGGGTTGATGCTGTTGAGAGTGAGGGGTCATGACCCAGAGGTTTGTTTGAAAACCTGCATAAACATCTTCTATCAGAGGGAGCACTCACGCTCCTCAGCCAAACAAGTTTGCCGGAGATGATGTATTGTGAACTGATTTGTTAAGTCTGAGTTGGGCCCATAAACTTGCCCGGTGCCCCGAAGAAAGACCGATGGCTGCGGCTGCAAGGGAGAAGGCCATTTGTGTCACTCCTTTTGGATTCCCGAGAGGCCAGCTCCCAGTCTCATCACTAAGCAAAGCTCAGCTGTTCACGAGCTCAGACCCTGGCCCTCATCACATTCCTCCTTGTTCCCTGCTCTGAGCTAAGGACAAAGTGATCCTTAACACCTTGGCGTTGGGGTTTCAAACAGTGTGTATGGGCAGGGGAAAGAGGAATGGAAGCAGTGGAGATTCAGCCTGGACAGGCCTCTCAAGCACAGTCATCATCACTGTGGAAAATGGCTGGCTGTCCTTTCTGCCTGGACCCAGATTCTCAGAGTCAATTCAGACCTTGTCTGCCTACTACACTCTACTTCCACCTGCCAAGGCCTTAACTCTATTTCCAAAGAATACCCCGACTGCCCTCTCAAACCCACCTGTGGCCAACATACACTGCGGGGAGCAACACCTCTCCCTTCTAGCACGCACCCTTTTCAATGTTGGTATTTAGCGTGATGATGCCTACATCCTCTAGAGTGAACATCAAAGGTTTGTAGCAGCTGGTGCACCCCTGTAGACCCTGCCTCCCTATCCTGCCACCATTTCCCTGAGTGGATTCTCCCAGCTTTCTCCTTTGCTCCTGCCACACTGGCCTCAAACATTTAGCATGACTTCCTCTTGGTCTAAAACAGCGGTTCTCAAACTTCTAATGCTGCAATTCTTCATGTTTTGGTGACCCCCCCCACCATAAAATTATTTCATTGCTGCTTCATAACTGTAATTTTGCTACTGTTATGAATTGTAATATAAAGATCTAATGTGCAGGATATCTGAGATCCCTGTGAAAGGGTTGCTTGACCTCCATAGGGATCACAACCCATAGGGTGAGAACTACTGGCCTAGAACTTTCTTCCCTGAAATTTTTCAGCCTGCCTTCCTCACCTACTTGTGCCTAATCAATTGAGACCTTCTCTCTGGTCACCCTGGTATAACACCCAGCCTTGCCGTCCTGGTCCCTCCATACTTTATGTTCTGCAGCTGTTCGGTGATGCCCTTGCTTTTTCTACCTGGTCCTGTTATCCAGAAAGTACGACGAAGGCAGAGCTGTCTGTCCCTTCACTGACGTATTCCTAGCACTTAGAGAGGAGAGTGACATGAAATACACACTCAGCAGTTGTTGAATTCGTGAATGATTAAATGAGTAAAGGGACAATAGCAGCAACCCCAAAGGCAGAAGGACAGCAGGAAGTCAAGGAGCGAGATGCACAGGACTGGGACCAGTAACATTGTGTCCACTTGGGCATCCAACTCCTGATGTCCTCTGTCCTTCAGATGAGTCATCAGAACTGAAACCATCACCAGTGTCTGGAGTCCAGAAGGGATGCTGAGACTATTATAGGAAGGGAAGTATGTGGTCTTCTAAGAAAGAGGGTCCCTGTGGGATCTATCGTCTCTGGAGAGTTTATTTTTCATGGGACAGATCTAAGCATCTCAAGTATACACAGAACTGAAGGAGGGGGACAAAAAAAAAAAAAAAAAAAAAAAAAAAAAGATGGCATTGAATTTCCTGAAAACACTTTATAACAGCATGGGTCAATTATACATAGCAAACGCCTTCAAAATTTAAACTCTAATTTAAACATTTAATTCTTCAGAATTGATACACATAGATGCTATTATGTGGTAGGGGAGGCATACAGCCTCCACTGGGATCAGAGTTTTGACAGTGTTACTTACAACTTATATTACATCCATTTTATTTACTGGTCTAGGCAGCCGGAGCATGGAAAGATATACAGCATGGAATAAACACATTCATCCCAGGCGAGGAATGTTGGCAGGAGACACTGCTTTTCAACATTAAAAATGTATAAAGTATTTAGCAAAAGTTACAGAAAACAGACCAAACAAGCAAGTTTATTTTGTTAGAAAAGTCCACGTTCATGGGGTTTGCTGATGTGTTCAGGTTGCAAGGGAATGCCCACTGGGTGTCTCTTTCCCTGGCAGGGAAGGCTTACAGAGTCGGGCCCTCACCCAGGTTGGCTGGTGTCCCTTGGAATGTTGGTGCCTGGATCCAAGAACCTGTCTGCTGAGGAAGCTGCAGGGAGAGACAGGTGAGCACACAGACTTCCTGACAGGGTATGACCTTAGGGTGCAGGACAAACTGGGAAGAATGACAGAGCCAATCTCAGCTCTGTCTTTCTGCCCCGGTGTCACACTGTGACTCTGGCCCTTCACAGTCCTATTGGGAACACCCCTCAGACACAAAGGGGCAACATTCCAAATTATTAGCCAACAAGAGTCTAAAGGCCATCCCCCCCTGCCCCCCCCCCAGCTCAAGCTTCTGTAGTTCAGTCCCCGAGAGCCGCACTCAGCACTAGGCGGTTAGGGCAGGTGAGGCTTGACCTTGGGCCCCTGTTGGATCCTGCCCCTTGAGAAGCAGGTCCCTCACCTTAGGAACTGTCCCTCAGAAATGATTAATCAGCAAGCAGTTCAGGGGTTGGAGAAGCCCTTCCTTCGGGTGTCCTAGCAGCTTTGCCTCCCATGTGAGAGTCTTGGGTTCTGACTCCCCGACTCTGACCCTCACCTGAATCTTGGAATGCCTCAGTTTACCTGGAGCTTCAAAACAGTCTTTCAGGATCCACCTTTCACTCAGCAATACATGACCAAGACAGCTCGGAAAAGTAGGCTCCACAGGGTCCCACCTACAGACTGGCCTGACCTCAGCTGGGCTTGGTCCTGTCTTTGCTACCACAAGCTAGTAGTCTCAGTGTGACTGCTGGCAAATCAAAGTACAGTTGGAGACAAGGACTTGATCAGCTGGCTCCTGGCTCTCCGGGACAGACCCAGATGATACTGATAATGACGTATAGTTTCTTTGGGGGTTCTGAGAGGAACTAAGCAATTCTTGGCTTGTGACACAATTGAATTCCATTTGGGTTTACCTAGAAAAGTGTCCATCATGAGAATTTTGGTCACAGCTGTGCAGATGACACCAGGCTACATATTACCGTGTGCATAGGGTGCAAACAGGCAATGGGGGCTTTGGGAAGAACAATGGATTTGAAGGCCTCAGAGACCTCCTAGGACAAGCACCCTCAGTTGGCAGATTCAAGGAAGGACTAAACTGTGCCCAAGGATCGTTGCTCAATAAACACCAAGTCCCAAGACTGATGACAGCCCCCGAGGGAGAGGATCTTCCTGCCCTGGGAGACTACAGCTGCAGCAGAAGAGGAAAGTGTTACCATCTCTCCCTGCTTTCTGTGATGACCCCAAACTAGAATCACCAACAGAGAGTGTAGCTTCAGGACCACTCAAGGGCACAGCTGGGGTCTGGGGAAGGAGCCCCGGGAATGTAGGAAGCAATGGTTTGGAATCAGTTTTACAAACTGGAGATCTGGGGCTATGACTTCCAGGGCATAAAAAAAAAAAAAAAAAAAAAATCATTTTAAAACTAAGGAAACCCTGGGGTCCACCCATATGATGGATTACTACTCAGCAGTCAAAGAGGACCCTCTACTGACACAACATCATGGCTGACTGAGAAGTTTGTATCAGAGTGACTTCATTTGCATGTAATTGTAGAAAAAGGCAGAACTATAGGGACAGGACATTGATCTGGTTGCTAGAATGGGGTGGGAAAAGGGAACTGGTGCGAAGACATGCCAATCTTGGTTCAAAGAAGTGCATTCCTTGAAAGGGTGAATTTTATTATATTTTAATACATCTGTTACCTTGGGGATGGGGTGGGAGGATACTTTTCAGCATGTGAACAGTTACAGCAATGAGGGAATCTCCAGGCTAAGGCATCAAGCAGCTGATCCTCACATGGTATCTGTAAAATGCCTTCCTTAGCTTCATAGTAACAGCCCTCTTCAGACTCTTGTTTATTAAGTCCCGCTTGTCAAGGTAACTCACAGCTGGGAGCAAGCCCCCCCAACAAGCCAAGGTCTTTTGATACCTTTTTAATTTTATGGCTTGTGTTCCCATGAAGGGGTTTTGGCTTAGCCAAGAGTCTCCTGCACCCATTCACTACCCTGGTAATTGGTTGGATTCTCCAGAGAGAATGGACAGAATCCCCTGTCTCGAATTTGGATACTTTGTTTCAGCTCTTAATCAACCATTGTCTAGATCCTCCTGAGTCAACAGGGTCTTGTGTGGAGTTAGAAAGGTGGCCCCCACAGCTGACCTAGAGACAGACAGCTCAGGGCTGCCGTCCACATCCTTCAAATGGCTTGGGCCCTGTGGGACTGTTCAAAAGTACTAGAAAATAATGAAGGGTAACAAGTATCTCTTCCCAGAGGTTGTCATGGCAACCAACCCATTTTTTTGAACATCATTCATTTCAGAGATTTAAAAAAAAAAAAAATCAGGCTTTTGCAGACAAAGCTTAAGTGCATTGGCACTCCTGGGAGGGGGCAGGTAGAAAGGACTGTGCTGCTCTCAACCTGGACAATGGATGCTCGCCCACCCTGAACAAACCCAGCCAAATCCTCTCAGAACCTAAGCACCCACATTTACAAAAGCAAGATAACGGGGCTGGGTGTAGCTAAGTGGGGGGGCACTGGTTTAGACACATATGACTCTGGGTTGGGTCTCCTTGTTCTTCAAACAGAACAAGGACCCCAACAATAGCTTGAACACTCAACTCTAGTATGTACTTGCAGGTTCTCAGACTTCATGCTCTTCTTGATTTTTACCCACAGTGTACTGTGAAGGTGGATGGACACCTGACTCATAGTTCTGGGTGTCATTTCCTGGTACCCTTCTCCTCCATGCTCTTCCTCTTCCTATTTGTAGTACAAGGAAAGGTACTGAAAAGCAATCAAAGCTATTTCTGAAATTGGAGCTGAGAGTCTGGTGGTGATGAGACTCAAATCTTGCTGCTGGGTTAAGACCTCCTAGCACAGTTAATACCTTAAGAATCCCAGTGCAAAGTGGGATTGTACCTTCTCTCCAGACGGGTCTAAACACATGTGTCTACCTGTGCATGAAGTAGACTGGAGAGAATTCTCTTAGACACAGACTATTTCTAGCACTCAGCACCCAGTTCCAAGCAGTCACTGAGAAAATGAGTGTGCAAATGAGCAGAAATCCCAGCACACATCCAGAACCTCTGAGAACTCAAATGGGCAGAGGAGGAGAGCTGGCATTATCTCAGAAAGAGGCGAGTCTACACTAGACAGGTCTGAGGGTTTGCTTGGATGACAGAGCCGTAGCCTGTCCTCAGATAGATTATACGTTGCTTGTCTATACCCAAACGCTTCATGAATGAATAGAAGGAAAGGGGGAAGGAGGAAAAGGTATATGTGGATAGATTAAAAAGGAGGTGAGGTGGCAATGAGGAAGCAATGACCTCAGAATGAATTGGCTCACATCAACCAACCGGGGTTTTGCTGGAGCAAGTGACATCTGAACCCTTTGGATGGGAAAGGGAACAAAGTCATGAGCCACATTGTGGTCCCCAAAACCCCTGTGTATGACAAGACCATCACTCACAAATTAGGTCACTAAACCACAGCACCCATCTTTTAATACAGAAACCGGGAAATCATATCCTAATATTGATAGCTGGTTCATGCTGAGTCCTGTAATGCAGAGCACGGGTTGGTGAAATGTCCTTTGTGGTTGAGATGTGTCAGTAAGAAAAGTGACAATGCTTAGTTTGCTTTAGTGTATCAGGCATCCTCCTAAGAATCATGAGAGATGGTTCTGTGGATGAGGCACCAGAAAGGGTTGAGATTAGTAAACTGCCTGCTGTTAGCATGTAAGATGGAAAGGTATGAGTTGCACTCACAGGATTCTGGCCCTTGGGGAGATAAACAAGTCAAATACAAAGTTACCTGTAGGAAGATGAAGAGGGATGACCTCCCATCCAGGGCTCCCTGCTCACTATTTAACAAGTTCCTTCTCCTATGTGGCAATAACCTACAGCCAAAAAGTCTGGGCTACTGTCCAGTGCCAGCAAGGGGGACATCAGTTCCTACCCCATCATGTACATCCAGAGCTGGGGCCACCAGAGAACAACCTGTGGTCAGCGGTGTGGCAGAACTCTGGACAGTGAGCATGTGGCATACAATACTTTCTGAGACCCCACCCCTAAAGCCTTTGAATATGCACATAGCTGTCTGAGGACTTTGAAAATGTCTTCTATTGAGCCTGGGAAGGGGTATCATTGTGAGAGCAGGGAGCTTCCTTCTTGAGAAAGAGGCTGAAAGGAAGGACAGATTGGGACTTCCGTGGTAGACTTTATAGCCAGTGCCTGATCTGAAACAGACCGGAGCCATGATCTGGTGATGCCAACTGAGGTAGTTCTGTCCTGATCTTTCCAGAGTTGTGTTGAGAAGACACCCCCTACCCCCACCACACCAACACCAGCCTTGTGTGAAGGGATGAAAAAAAAAAAAAAATAGATGTGAGCTCTCAGAATGCAGTAGGGGAAAAATAGGGAAGGCTGAAAAAAGTTGTGGGTGCAGGCTGTGGGCTGGTAAGTGCCTCCTATCCTTGATTCTGATCCTGGCATTGTTTGGAGACAGAGAACTCCCTCCCTCCCTCCCTCCCTCTTTCTGTAGCCCAGGAGATGAGAAGCCAGCTGGAGGACAGGCCCTGGATACCTGGGGCACAGAAATTTGATGGCCACCCAAATGGAACTCAGCAGGGACCCCAGGGTTTTAGCCTCAGTTTTTTTCTCAGAGTGACAAGCACAGCATGGAAATTGGAGGGGAGGCTTCAGTCTTAGAGATGGAGTCAGGGCTGTGAATCCATCTTTATGGCCTGGGAATATTGGGGAGTCCCTGGCTGGGCCCTCTTTCTGGCATCACCGGCCCTTTTCCTCCTTCTCTGTGGCCAGGTCAGCAGGTAACAGGGCAGATCCACCCCTTCTCCATGGGACCCCCAGCTCCTCTCCTCAGCAGGACCCCTGGGGACCACACAGGCGCATCTAGATCTCCATGTCCACTGGGCGAATGTTGCCTGTTTTGTGCTCTCTGACCCATAGCTCCCTGTCTTTGGCTGGGTCCACTTTTCTCAGCAGTTGGTCCACAGGCTCGACTGTCTGCAAGGGACACAGAGGAGGGGTCATTGTCAGAGGTGGCAGCTGAACTGGGATGTCTCCTGTGTCCCATGCTGCCGCAGATGGAGAGCCATCTCAGATCAGCCCTTCTAGAAGGTTCCAGGGCCCCATGGAGGTGTTTGAGGGTGCAGAGCACTGTGAGAGGTGAAGCGAGTCTGAAGATTGCAGGCCTGGAGAAGAGGCCAGGCTGTCCCAAAGGGGACCTCTTCCTTTGTCTTCCCTTGGCTAACGGACCTGCCTTTGGGCACTGGTTATTGTTTTAGAAGTTGTATATTTGGTTTGCTTTCTAAAGCAAAACCTCATGGTAGACAAATGTCTTTAATTATTTTAACCATGGTAAAGCTGGGTGAAGCACAAAACTGTGATCCCAGCACTGGGAAACCTAGGCAGGAAGATCCTACATTCAAGGCCTAGCCAGATCCAGCCTAAAATCAAACTGATTATAGCTTTGGTGAGAGGGACTGGCCCTTGGTAGCAGATTCAAGGAGAACCTGCCTCTTGTACTACGAATGGATCACACGGACCTCTGCGGCAATCATGCCAAGTCTGTCCTGCTAGCCTTAGTACATAGATGGGAAACTCACGCTTTGGTTGAACATGTCTGTCTCATGCCGCAGCTGTGTGTACTGGCACAGATGTTGTCGGATCATTTCCACCCTCTCCACCTCCAGCCGTTCCAGCTCCTACGGAGGAAGAAGAAAAGACCAGAGGCCCCTGAGCCCTCCCCTAACTCAGGGTCCTTCCTACAGAGCAGGTGTCAGGACACCATGTATTCTATGTGGATCCCCAACCTATCTGACCCTCTGGATGTTCATGAAGAAGGAACTAATCTCTAGGGTGAAGATGGTCATAAGAGCATTTTTGCCAGCTTGGTATGGAACTCTGCATGTGCAGAATATCCAAACATCCCTATTAGAGCTCAAAGAGAGGTTCTACGATTGTTCCCATTGTCCAAAGTGTCATGGAGCTGTAGAAAGAGCAACATTTAAGCTGGGGTCTGTGGTGCTCTCCAGCTGATGGTTGGGGCAACAGAATTGGAGCAGAAGAGCTCAGCCTCTCACGCTCTCTGGTTTCTACCCACTCCTAGTGCTGAGGGACAAAGAAGACCAGGCAGGGAGCAAAGCAGGCTGTGAATGTGCTAGCCATTGTCAGAGAAGAGTGGGAAGGCTTGTGGTTGGTTTCTAGCTGGTTCCGTGACTTTAGGGGATTAGGCTGTTATTCTGTGGGGAACTAGGTCACTGCCCTGGTGATTAACCTGGAAGGGAGGTAAAGAAGGGGGCTTAATTAAAAGATTAATGGAGGAGAGGAAAAGCAGGGCACTGGCCCAGAAGGAGGCTACTAATCTTCCTAGGTGGGCTAGCACGTGGAGAAGGTGGCTGGTTAGGGGTTGGGAAGGTATGGCAGTGAACACTGGGTTGATAGACTGTACAATGGACACGGTGCTGTCCCCTTCTCCCACTTGTTCCAAGTACCAGCCACGCACTACTGTCCTGCCCAGGCAGTCTGGACAACAAGGAGAGATAACTGATCCTTTAAAAGGAGCACGCAGGATCTGCGACCATGGTCTTCCATCACAACCTCTCTACAGCTCCCAGTATCTCATAAGGGCCCCTCTATCAAAGAGCTAAAGTTCTGAGTGTGTGTGTGTGTGTGTGTGTGTGTGTGTGTGTGTGTGTGTGCGCGTGTTGTGTGTGGGTGCGTGCGTGCGTGCGCTGGGGAGAATGTATCAGCTTCCCACCTCTTCTCTGTTTGTCATACCAGGGCCATGGTTCACTGAGATGAGGAAATTGCTGGTGGATCCTGGCGTCTCAGTGGACAGACAAAGGGTAATTGAACAAGACCAGGCCCTTGTTGAGTTCATAGAGCAGGAAACACTAGAGCAGGAGTTTGAATCCATGGGCAGGTATAGAATGAGGGCTGAGCTTCAATGCTGAGAGAGAGGTAATGAGCATCTCCGCTGTTACCACCACTCCACCCTCCCATGACCACTGTCCCCTGCCCAGGGCTGCTTGTGCACCAGCCTCTTTACCATATGCTCACACATCGCTGATCACATACCAGTGTGGTTGTCACCATCTCTTCAAACCACTTTGACTGGGCCTGGTTGTAGAGGTCCACACAGCGCATGAGGTCATCTCCTGGGAAAAGCCAACAGCCACCATCATGCCCTGTTGCATGTCACCCTGTCTCCACTATGGCTGCCCAGGGAATGAAGGGGGAAGAGAAGGGGTGGATGAAAGAAGGGGACAAAGCAGAGAGGCACAGCTGCAGAGTGCCTGTCTGGACTGGATTGCAGACCCCAAGAACTCAGGTTTTCATGAAGAGACTACTGCACTTGACTCTGGGTGCCATGGTGCACATCTGTAATTTCAGCACTTGGGAGCCTGAGGCATTTGGACTGCTAGTTTAAGGTCAGGATGGACTACATGAGGTGTTCAAGGCCAGCCTGGGTAACAGGGATATAGCTTGGTGGTAAGATGGTCTTCCTAGTGAATGCAAGGCCCAGGTAGAATCCCAGGTAGAATCTTCTCCCTTCCCCAAAGAAGGAAATTTGCAAGTTGTGTGCACGTGCATGCACGTGTACGTACACCCCCCCTCCCTCAGGGCAATATGCCAGTGTGATAGTGAGAGAAAAGGGTCAGCATCCTGCGGTCATGGCTCATTTACTGTGCAGTACTGGCACAAAGCCGAGCACTAGAGCAGGGGAAGACAATGCGAGCCTTGGGAAACTGAGTCAGGCTGAACTGGAGGGACGCGTTCATGCAGCATTCCATTTTACAACAGCCATCTGAACACATAACCACTGCAGCCTCACAGCTAACACACTACTTTCTGTAATGACATGAGTACCTGAAACATTTTTAAAATTAGGACAAAAGCCAACTCTGAGGTGACTGCAAAATAATGATGCTGGCACCCCAGAGCCTTGTGACATGAAGCACGGTTGGTGGACCAAGGGCATCAGGCGACCCTGGGAACTAGTGACAAGCACAGGACTTCAGGGTGTGCCCCAGACCTGCTGAACCTGAAGCCAACTCTCCCCCCAGACCTGTGGTGAGGAATGTGTCCGGGGAGCCCACACCTACGGGCACTGCACTGTGTAAATGTGGCTCTGGTGAGAACGGGGCTCATGCTGGGAGCAGCTTGTGAGCCAAGCTTCAGAGCCAAGTGACTCACTCTAATAAATCAACAGGTAGTTCTAGGAATCCTCAGAGTTGAATCCAGTCATTTGAATAGATTCAGAGTCATCGCTTTGACATAACTCTTACTCATGTGGAGGAAAACAGGGAGGCTTGTCCATATAACTCAAGACCGGCTCAGAATCCTCACATCCTGACCACAGATATACCACGAGTCCTGTGCCTTGGGGAATAGCTATGCTAAGTGTTTTCTTCATTTTGTTCTTGGCCAAAGCCAATACTACCCCTTCGGTTTAAGGAGCATTAACCAAAGGGAAGTGCATAGATGCAACTCTGTTCCTGTATTTCCACCATGACTTCACCTGCTCCAGAATGTTCTATGAACATACACTGTGAGGCTCCTGGTGCCCTATATGTCCATCCTGATTTTGAGAACATTTCAGGAATAGCTGCAGCACCCAGAGAGTGGTGTGGAGAAGGCTGCTTCCTTTACATGGCAGCCCAAGCGATGGAGACTGGGCTCTTTCTGAAAGTTGAGAGACTGGATTCTGGAACCAGAAGGCCAGGGCTGCCTTGCTCCTCCACCATTATACTCTGGGTATGCTAACTAATCAGTCCATGCCTCCGTTTCTTCACCATGAAACAGGTATGACAGTTGTAGCTTTAAAGAGACATTGTGGCTGGGCAGTAGTGGCATTCGCCTTTAACCCCAGCACTTAGGAGGCAGAGGCAGGTGGATCTCTACGAGTTTAAGGCCAGCCTGGTCTACAGAGTGAGTTCCAGAGTTACAGGACAGCCAGGGCTACACAAAGAAATGCTGTCTCAAAAACAAACAAACAAACAAAAAACCCAAAACAACAGCAACAACAAAGCTATCTTGAAGAAGAGCTGATGTGTGCACAGTGCTTGGGATAGAGACTAGACAGATGGCAAGATTCCCCTCAGAGATGATGACTTGAAGTCAGAGCCCCCCAGATCCAGACAGACACCCTTCCTCGCAGTAGTATTGCGAGAGATGTGGAGGAGGAGAAAAGCACAGAAGGGAAGAAATGTCAGCGCTTGCTGCCAGGTGGAGGCCTTCCCAAGTCTGTCCTCCTCAAACCCAGACACCGCAGAGAAGACAATGTTATACAGAAACCAGGCAAGCAGAAACCAGGCAAGAAAAATCAAAAGCAAGCAAAAACAAACAAACAAACAAAACAAAAACAAATACAAACCCTCCCTTTTTCTTCAAAGAGAAAAAGACAAGTGATAACTATAGGAGCGACCAGGGGGTGACTCTCCCTAACACATGCAAGACCTGTCAACCAGTCACTAAGACTGACACACAACCAGGATTTAAGCTCCTCAGTTCATTGACTGGGGGGCTGTGGTAAAAATAGTTCATGAGTGTATTTTCAAAATGTTCAATTCTTTTATAGAGAATTGCAAAGTAATAGTAAAAACCATTTTTTTTAAACCAGAACACCAATGATTTCAAATTTGATAATAGGCATTTCTGATAAGCACTTGAGCAAGAAGCATTCATAGGTGTTAGCTGGGGAGCCCTCTCTGGAAAGCAATTTGGAAATATCTGTCAAAATGAACCAGACCTTCTGACCCAGCATCTTCATTCTCTCTGTGTGAGGATCTGGCTTTACATACGCAGAGAGTTACAGTTCCAATAGCAAACACCATATCTCTGGTCCTGGGCAAACTCAGAAACAATCTCAAAGCCCTAAAATCCATCAAAAGAAATACATTTGGGTACAATCAATGGGACTGGGGCTGCAGCCCAGTGGGGATGTATTTGCCTAGGATGTATAAGGCCCTGAGTTCCCTCACCAGCTCCACAATGAAACAGGAGATGAGTGTCTGATGTGCATAGATGGATATCTAAAGAGGTTTAGAGGGAGTGAGATGGGAGCTATTTCTAAGACATATTAATTGAAAAACAAGATTAAAGATAGAGTATATGGTTCGGTTTATGTGAATTCAGAGAATTTGGGGATTATCTCTGGTGAATAACATGCTCTCATACATTGATGAAAACATTTGCTACACACTGCTGTAACTGTATAATTGAGTGAATTAATTTAATTATATGTCTTCCCCCTTTGGGTCCCCTCCCCATTCACAATAAGCATATCAGGAGTTTATGAAAATGTTACTGGACCCAGGGTGTGCTCCTAAATTTCTAATTTTTGCCAACTTATTTATAGCATCTAAGGTGGCTGCTTCATCCTAGAGTGATAAAAACTGCATCAGGCTCATCAGAAATCAAGAGGAGGGATATTATTTGAAGATACTCCTGCATGATGGAGACTTGGCAACTTGGCTAAAGTTGTTTTCTCAACTCCAAGGGCCTTTATCTTCCTGTCTTATGTAGCAGCTAACTGCTACCACTAGGTGGCAACAAAAACCAGCTCACTGGAGCAATGTGAGCAAACTCTGAACCGTGGATGCTTTTAAAACTGAATGCTATCTCTGAACAAGGAGGAGCTAACGGCCCCCAGACTGATAGCTTGGAATCCAGCGTGGGACTGACTGAAACTCCCTGAACATGGGGCTACTCCCTTAACCTAGAGACAGGAGAGAAGTCCTAGTCCCTACTTCAAATGACTGGACAGATTTAGATGACCCCTTCTGGATGGCATCACCCTACATGTGGAGTAGGGGGGGGTGGAAGGGGAGGGTGGTCGGGGTGCATGTGAGGGGGGGAGAGAGGGAAAGAAGAAGGGAGGGAGAGTGGAAGGGAGGGAGAGGGAACTGGGATGGATATGTAAAATAAAAAATAATAAATAAATAAATAAAACTGAATGCTGGCTTCTGTCCTCAGGGCAGGAGCTCACTTCCACAGTATAACTAACTCCCTAGAGAGTGGAGCATCTTGGATGGGTGGGTTGGTGGTTGGAGGTTGCACTCTTTTAAGCAGGGACAGTAAGTACTCTGAGCTCTTGGTTCATGGAGAAATCTGTCAATCTCTCTGGACCTAGATCCAGGGCTTGGGAAAACTCAAAGCCCATGGAAAGGACCGCATGAGCTCGCCAGCCCCTGCTGTGACCTTGGAGAAGCTCACTTGCTACTTTCCTCTTCCCTTGAGATCCCTGGACATGGGGGAGGGAGGAGGCACAAGGGACATTTCAAGGAGGAGGATGGGAAAGACCATGCCACCAGAATGGAAGCCTGACAAAAAGAACCACTCCTGCCCTGGGCTGGTATCACCAGGGTACTACAGGGCTCACCAGCCTGAGTGGACTTCCTTCGTGCCTTCTTGATGTCCTCCTCAGTCTTGTTGCTCAACTTGATCTCTAGTTGCTGGGTCTTCATCTCCAGGTCCTTCTGCCGCTCTGTGAGGGCTTTGCGGGCCTGCAAGGAGGCAGGGGGATGGTGGGGCGGAGACAGCCCGGCCCAGAGAGACAGCAGGTAAGATTGCAGCCAGGCTTCAGGGCCCTGACACCCATGCACATGCTCATCCTACCTGCTGTGTGGATGATGGTACCCTGGCACGAAGGAGCCAAAGGGCTGGCACCTAGCTGGGTTTATGCATCTGCCTGTGACCTGTCAGTCTCTGGGTCCTGTTGCCTATACTGTGATTTTACCGTGATCATAAAACCACTGTCTCTGAGGCCGGAGAGATGATTCAGCAGTTGGGGACACCTGTTGTTGCTGCCGACTGAGGGCTTGATTTCTAGCTCCCGCTTGGTCTCACAATCATCTATAACTGCTATTACAGGGGATTCAACACCCTCTTCTAGCTTCCAAGGGCTCCAGGTAAACAGTGGTGCATAGACATACATTTGAGCAAAATACACATATAAATAAATATAATTAGTAAATTAAAAAAACCCCACTGTCTCTCAAGGACTGGAAGGAACTATGAAGGTCACCTGAGTTACCTCCTAGCAGTGCACAACAGGCTGTGGGTACTAACTTACTTATCTCATAGCCTCAGCCCTTAATGTGCCTGCATCATCATCATCATCACATCACCACACCACCACCATCATCATTATCACCACCACCATCATCCTCTACTCTCAGCATTTGGTGGAGATGGAGCCCCGTCTTGGGTACCTGCAATGGTTTGCCATTTCTATTCTATAGAACACCCAGTCAGGCCACTGGGAAGGTTGCTTGTTCCTCCAGGGCTGACCACCAGCAGCCCTGCCTCCCATGGTATGACCCACATCACCCACCACCACCCACAGGAAGGTGATTCTCTACACACTTGGGAGGGGACATTAGCTCAGGCCATACTTGAAGGTGAGGCCCAGACCCAGTAGCCACGTGAGTAGCTGTGTCACATCTGACTTGGTGTCCACAGAAACAGGGGTTGCCTTGTGCCATGAGGCCATTATAGCTCCCACTTTCCCCTCAGCTTCTCCTTCCTTCCACTTGCCCTTGGGAGAGTCATCCAAGTGTCCTGGGGTAGCAACTCCTGTCTGCCACATGGGTAGGTGGGAGGTCCTTGGACTCCCCCACCACTCCAGAATACAAGGGCAAAGGTTTTTGCAGTGACACCCACAGCTGGTTCCTGACCCATCCTGTCCTAGAAGTCCCAGCTCTTCACCAGCTAGGTACCCTGGCCTCTCACCTTCTCCACTGAGGCATAGCGGCTGGCCAGCTGCTTGCGGAGGTCAGCAATATGGTGGTCACACTTTTTCATGTCCTTCTTGAAGTTCTCGCGGAAGTTCATAAGTGGTTTCTCCACCTCGCTGTGGAGCTGTGGAGGAGGGTGGGGAGGGCACGCTCAGGACCAAGGCGCTGGGTGTGCAGGGTGGGAGTGAGACCTCCCACCGTCTTGTAGAAGCCAGGTCCTGGGGCAGTGGTCTGGATGGCTAGACCACCCAGAGAAGACTAAAGAGATGGGCATCTTTACCAGCTGTCTGCAATGGTCACGTTAGCTCCCAGGCAGCATAGCCATGCCTTGTAATGGGTAGCCCAGAACTTTCCAATTCCCTCATTAGCTCACTGGTTCCTTTTCTGTGTCTCTACAACAGATTCTCCTCCTTCCAAACTTCCATCTTTAACACTTGGTGGCTTGCAACAAACTCACTGTGCAGTGACTAAGTCACACTAAGGACCCTTGGAGGCGTACCCTCACCTGCCTCTCACAATGTGTGGTTCTCTTGGAGCAGCTTTGTTTAAGCATCTTCCTCTTCGGAAGCCTTTTGGGGATAGACCAAGTCACCTGCCTGTGTCCTCAGGCACTTAGAGTGATTGCTGTGTGAAGCTCGACAGATAACTAGGAAAACTGCCAATCACTCAGGTTTCTAGTTATCGACCATCTGCCGCACTCCTGGAGTACAAAAGTGACCTGGGCCTGTGCTGTTGGAACAACCGTCCTGAGCAGCATTAAGGGGAGCCAGGTGCACTTCCTGTCCCCACCCTAGTCAACTGACCCCATGTTCCTTCTGAGGTCCTGAGGAGCCCCCCACCCCCCTGCAGTGAGAAGAGCTAGTGGCATCTGGTTTTAAAGCATCCCCCCTTCTTCCCACCGCATATCACACCTCCTTGAGATTTAAGGTGTTTGTTTTGATTGTAAGCATGGTGTGTCTATTTTGGCAAGAACGGGGACCAATAAGCCCAGATCTACTCAGTCAAGGTGGTGGCCTAGTGCTCTCCCAAGCCCCATACCCAACCTCCTGGAGCTTGCCATCCCCTGCCTAGACTCAGCCCTTGGGGACTGTCAACATGACCCCCACCTGGTGTGTGTGGCTAGCCAGCCCTGTCTCCCAAACAGATGATTCCCAGTTCTGAGACTTCTCTCCTCCAGCTTAAGTTTATGCCATTGTCTTTTTTTTTTTCCCTTCTGGAGATCACCCAGGACTTGGGTGTTCTTATTTTAACCCCAGCATCTTAAGCAGGGTTGCATCCCCTAATGGGGACATAAAACTGAATGTGGGTCTTACTCAAACTTGTCAACAGCACAAGGTTTATGAACAGGCAATAGCCAAAGGTTCACTCAAAAATCAAATGTATGATGAACCTAAGCTGTCACATTATGTGACTTCATAGCAGCCTTAGCTTTGAAAATACATGGCATTTTGCATTGCACTTGCCCATCACAGCACACAACACCCATAAACACTGCCTAAAGCACCTCAGCTGAGATTCAAGGCTATTGCTACGAACTGCAATGTTTTTACTCCACATGCCAGGTTTTCTGTTCTGGGGATTTGAACTCAGAACTCACAGTTGAGCATCACTGAGCGCTTTATCCACTGAGCTATTTCTCCAGCCTGTATATCAAAGACTTTTTCTTTAAAAACACTGGTTTGGTGTCTTTTAAGAGTCATTCTTAGCTCTGAATTCTTTGCTTTGAGCAAGGCATCAGTGATCTCTCTTAAAGTGTGTTTCTGGGGAATGTGTGGCCAGTCTGGCCTGTGCTAGATGGGCTAGACTACTGGAGCTGATTGGTGGGGGGCATGGCTCCCCCAAACTCTTATCTACACATCACAGGTCAGAAGAGAAGAAGAAGGACTCCAAGTTGGAAGTGATTTCAGTGGCTGTCTGGTCCAGCCATTTCCAAGTGGTGACTGACTAGTTGTGAAATCAACTTGGTGGGTCAGGACCTGGGTTTTTGAGATAATAGACCCAACTTGGGGGAGAAAAAAAGCCAGGGTGCATTTTAGGCAGAATAACAGTAGAGGGTTAGGAAGTTCTACACATGTGTGTCTCTGGGTGGGTATGCACATAGTCTTGGTGACCATTTAAAATGCCTCCCATGAGCACAGTCAGGCAAGATTAAAGCCATAGACCAGGTTGTAACTGTTCATTTCACACATGAAGTGTGGGGCTGCCAAGTAACTCACCCATGCTCACAAAGCTTGTTAGTGACAGTCCTGGGCTCACATTCATTCTCCCGCCCACGGATCTGCCTGTGCACAAGCACTGACTGCACGCTCAGGTTCCCTTCCATCAGAAGGAATGTGTCTATTCTCCCCTCTTTCACTGGGGCCAGTCCTAACTGCCTTCCAATAGAGCGAGCTCATTTTCTGAGATTGCTGTTGCTATTAGCACCGGCTTGAGCTAGGAGACTGGCAAAGCTGGAGAGCATGCTGTACGCAATCCCATTTCTTAAAAGGCTTTTACCCTCGACACCGAGCATTCGGATGGAGAAGAATTTCAATAAACCTTTTGGAGCTGACATAAAATAGGTTTTGTGCCTTGGGAACTATGTTCTTCAAGGCTGATAAATCAATCCTTGGAGTCCCCTTCCTCTTAAAAAAAAAAAAAAAAAAAAAAAAAAAAAAACCAGGTCACTATTAGGAGGCTACCAGGATAGCCTGGAGCCACCAACACATACAGGCTAGAAGCAGAATTGTCGATGGTGTGAAGTTTGCACCTCATGTTGGCACACCCTGCTCTATGAGCCATCCTTAGTGCGGGGGTGGGGGGGTGTCTGTGAGCTTCTGAAGCTTGCTTAGAGCGGCCTGGGTGATTGGGAAATCAGCCTGCACCCTACCATTGGTATTCCCTCCAAGGGCAGGAGCTTCTTCCTGTGTGTAATGTGGAGATAGAAACCATTTGCCTCTTGTTGGTGGCCTCTGCCTCCACCTCATGAGGGAAAAACAGCATTGCTGGGGGGTTGGGACAAGAGGAGGGAGGCCTTGGAGGGAAGTTACTCATGAACCACAGCTTAAAAATAACCTGCTGCTTCATCTGCAGTGGTGCTGAAAGCAGAAGCTCAGGGAGCTCCCTCCTCATGGGGCCTCTTCTGCCAATGTGCAGGGGAAAGGCTGGGTTGCATGGGGTGAGTGCACTCTCATGAGCTGGGAAATCTCACTCACATGGGGGTACCAGCTCCACCTCAGGCACTCACACAGGAGCCAGAAGCGGCACTGTTCCCAGTGGCACTGGGCAGACAGACATATTCCTGTCCTTCAAGAGTGCACATGGCCCTGGACCCCAATGCAGAGAACGGCAGTGACTAATGGGAACAGCTCCACAAAGAGAGGGCTGATTAGCAGCAACTGTGGAAGCCTAAATAGAAACAGTGTCTTGGGGGATACTACTTTCAAATGGCAAAGTTGGTACTTAAACACGGGGGGGGGGGGGTGTTCCAGCACTTGAATAGATAGTACCCGGGACCGTGGTGACTGATGGGTGGTGTCGGGAGGTCAGAGGTAAGAGGGGTATCTGTCAAGATGGCGGTGACATGGCCAAAGGCCTCTCTTTAAAAAGGCACACCAATGGGCAGGCCTATCAGTCACATGTGCTTTAGTGTGAATTATCTCACTGAGACATCTAGTTTAGTTTTCACTTAAAAGGAGCTGGGAGGAAGAGTGGAGATACAAGCCAGGGAGAAGAGACAACAGGTTCTTTTGGAAACACAGGAGAAATCCTGCGGCAGGACAGAGCTGAAAGCCCCAGGCAGGAGGTGGCCAGCAAGCTCTACAGCTCTGGTTCTCAGCCTTCCCAATGCTGCCACCCTTTAACACAATTCCTCATGCTGTGATGACCCCAACCATAAAATTGTTTTCATTGCTACTTTCATAAAAAACTTTGTGACTGTTATGAGTTATAATGTAGGTATCTGTGATTTCAGACAGTATTAGGTAACCCCGTGAAAGAGTCACCTGACCCTCAAAGGGGCCGAGACCCACAGTTTGAGAACTATTGTTCTGTTTACTCATTTCTCCTGAAGGTATCTATTAAGCAACTTCTACAGGTGTTCAGTTTTGACGCAATGAAGTGAATACGAGGGAATCAAAAGTCCTGGTCCTAGTGCCTTTGGAATCAGATGAAAGGAGGGGATTTTCAGAAATTCTGCAACAACAAATCCATTTTTAACAATCTTCCCTTGGGGATCTCTGTGAGTTTGAGACCAGCTTGGTCTATGCAGTGAGTTCCAGGACAGGCACAAAAGCTACAGAGAAACCCTGTCGAAAAAACAAAACAAAACACAATCTTCCCTTGGCCATAACCTAGTGTTCCAGACACAGAGCTGACTACCATGCCAATCCATTCCTGTGAAACCAACAAAGAGAGGCTGGGGTTCACCTGAGTGAACCAGGAGGCATCCACTCTCACTGCACAGACCCTGGGCTGCCTGCCTTCCGTGGCTCCCGAGAGCTCACTGTGAGCCGCTCACTTAAATAGCCATAATTGCAAAAGGAATTAAACGAACTCACATTATAGTAAGCATCAATTATCGCAAACCTAAACTTACATTCAAAAAAGGCAATCCTTTCCTCAGCACCTACATCGTGCTCTTATCTGTGCTCTTGGGGCACACCCCTGGTCACTTCTGCTGCTGTCTGTTCAATGGAGACTTTCTAAAGGTGAGCTATGGGTATCTCCTCCCAATCTGTATTCCAGAATTTGGTAACATGGAAAATGGCAAGGAATGTAAGCCATAAAGAAAGAGCTGGTAACCAGCTGTCAGCGTGCCTGGTCTAACTCTGGAGGGCAGGGGGAGTTACCTTGGCAGAGAACTTGAGATGAACTTCAGCCTCATCTGCCAGACTCTTCTTCACTTGGGCCCACGCTTCTCCCAGGGAGCTGCAATAGGAAGGGGCTGTTAGATCGCAGTGGGGTGGGGCAGAGAGGGCTCTGGTCCAAAGCTACAGCCCTCCCTAAGAAGGAATGGATGGTGGTTCTAGGCTCCATGTCTTGAGGAGATATATAACACTCAAGCCTGTGGACTTGAGTGAGACTAGATTCAGCCACCAAGGCCAAGGGGAGCCAGCCTTGCTTCTGGATCTAAGAGACCAACCAACATCTCAGCTGCAGGAGAAATATCTGGAACACACTACCTTCCACACTCTGGCTTGTTGCTGAGGGAACAAATACGTGCTACCAACTAAAGGAAGAGAACCAGATTCGTTTCCGAGTCCCTTGCCTTGCATAGGTCTTAGCCACTTGGCCTCCAGGAGAGACACAGATGGTCCACTTGGGTCCAGGGCCATCCCAGGTACAGCCACACACTGAGAAGGCTCTCCTAGCCATCTGCAGAGGCATGTTTTCTCTCTAGCAGATTCTCGGTTATGCACCCCACTATGGCTCACAGTGTGCCATCTCTCTGCTCCAAAGAGATGCTCCAAACAGAAGGCACCTCCCGAAGTCCTGGAGACTGCCAAAGGTCCAAGACACAGAACTCATTATCTGGACCCTTCAGCCCTATTACCATTCTAAACCAGACCCTGACACTCCTTCTCCAGACCTCTCAAGCAGCCAGACTATTTCATGCAAAAGCTGCTTGCTTCAGGGAATTCATTAAACTTCAGTGGCAAAAGCTGATTAGAAGACAGCCCTCTGGGGCAGAGCACTGGAAATGCAGCTCCCAGGTTCCAAGGAAGCAGATCTGCCCCTGCGATCCAGTTCCCTGGTGCCAACACTAGCCTGGCCTTGGTGGGTGTTCATGAGAAACTACCAAGTGCTATCTATAGAGTCTGGAAGAAGGAAGAGTGTTGCTGGGGTCCCATCAGAGAAGACTAGGTGGGTCTGGGTGACCACTCTGTGGACATTTGTCTTTGCCCCAAGGGCCTGGGAGGCTGTGAGGAAGAAACAGTCCTGCAGACTTGCATGGGTGAAGCTCCCTTACCTCATTGCACAGTGGGAGCTGTCATGACAGTTACATGGATTAGCGGTGAGCTGAAGGTGTCCCCTCAAAGCATGTGCAGTGGCCTTTATCCCTGGCATGACAGTGTGAAGAGGTGGGGACTCTTGGGGCCATAACAAAATGCTCAGGATCCCCTACGCTGGCCATTTCCCTTGCTGTTGACATACGGTGACTTCTGTCTCACGCTAGGGCAGTGTGTAGGTACTCTTTAGGTGCTAGCCCTTAATCTGGGACCTCACAATCTCCAGACCCATGAGCAATCTCTTTTTTTCATAAATCATCCGCTTACAGCAACACAAAAGGGTCTCAGACACAGCCACACAAACAGGGCATGCTGATGAGCTGCAAGGGTGTGACTCTGTATTTCACCAGGGAAAGGAGCCTGGAGCCTCCCACATATCAGGGGAGTGCTCTGCCACTCAGTTCTATTCCTAGTCCTCAGGCAGCTGTGAGGAGATGATGTGGAGACAACTGGATAACAAAAGGCAAGAATGAATCTTGACCATCACTTCAGGCCACTCCCACAGCTTCTCAACGTGTACACTAGCTTCAAACTGACAGCCAATAAGCCATCGCCATCATAAGCGAGGGGGTGTTGCCCTAGGAGCTGAGTGACACCCAGAAGGTCCCAGAGTCTGCAAAGGCCCTGGGAGGGGCTGAGCCTCTTCCTATAAGGCTGCAAGCCCAGTGCCAGCAGAACACATGGGATTAACTGGCTAGGGTCAGGTATGGTGGCCTGAGAATGTTAGTTAGCTCAGGGATACTGGGGGATAAGAGGAAAGTGGCACCATTTCCATCCTGTACAATGTCTTCAGGACTGGAATGTCCCCAGATAGAAGAGTATCACTCCTAACTCTCAGATGGGCTCATTCCTATACCTATGTTCCTGTCTCCTCAGAATTCCAAAGCACTTCAAACGTATGGAACTACCGCACTGGGCCTTGTCCAAATGAATGAGTGTTGATTAAAAAATAAAGTTTAAATGTTTTGGGGGAAAGCTATTAGAAATTCTCATTTGAAGATGGTGTCTGACGAGAAAGAGGTACATTAAAAACAGTCAGGTATACCTGTATCACAACGTATAGTCTGAGGCATGCCAAATCACAGGTTCTTGTCAAAACTCTAACCAAGAATGACCAACATCTCATTTCCCATGAGAGGGCTAAATGCAGCATGAGAAACAAGGCTGCCGATTCGCCAGCATGAACACTTGCTGAGATATCTAATCTGGGCAGAGCACCTAAATTGTCAGATAGCTCCTGGGTTTCTGAGCTCTCAAATGCCCCGCACAGCCTGCAAGGTGCACTGGGCCAAATGTCTAGAGCTGCATTGTAGGTGCAAGATACAGCGCTTTCGTACTTTGTGCCTGCCAATGGAACAGTAATGGGGTGTGTGTGTGTGCATGTGTGCAACATAGATATCTGTACCTGAGCTCGTGTGGTTGAGTGTGCTCATATGTGTGTAACTCTGGCATGAGGAGCAGGCTGCTTAGCTTAGGAGCATATGCTGTGTGCTGGCAGGACAAAATGTCCCTGGCAGGAGCCCAGGCTGAGGGGGTGGAAGCAGGAAGGCTCCAGAGCCATACAGCTATGCCAGGCACAGGGACCCATAGGAAGCTGCTTTCCCTAGTGGCAGGGTACTTCCCGTGGGCTTCCTGCCTTGTCTCTGGCTGAGAGAGCAGCAGGTGAGGCCAGGAGCCAGCTAACCATGCCCGTGTCTGAAGAGGGACACAGGGCCCTGTTGAGGCTGACTGGGAGGAGATGGCCTGGTTTTACTCAGCCCATCAGGAGTCCTAATGAAAGCCATATTCAGTTGGCAAAAATCTCCATCCCAGGCAGATTCATCATGAGGCACATTATATCCTGTCCACTATCATGGCTCCCTGAAATCACCTGTGATAAAATTATCCAGTTTAAGGCAAGCAATTGAAAAGTGTCTACAATGTCCACAGTGGAGAATGGCCTACCTTTGATGGCTCCAAATCCCTCATCACCCGGTCATAAAGTTTGTGATTTTTTTTCCCTCCCCTTTAGCATCCTGATTCTATCTTGAAACTCTGATGCTAGATGTGGGGATGGGACAGTAATTAAGATTAGAGGGAAAAGCCCTGATCCAGTAGGATTATTGTCCTTATGGGACCCCTCCATCCCTACCCCAGCCCATGCAGATGACGGTATGTAAGCACACAGTGAGAGGGACAGCCCATGCCAGACCCCGACTCTATTGGGACCTTGACATTGGACTCCCAGTCTGTAGAACTGAGACAGAACAGAAGCTTTTTCTGTTCTTTTTCTTGACAGCGATCTCACCATGTAACCCAGGTTGGCCTTAAGCTCATGATCTGCCTCCCAAGTGCTGGGATTACAGATGTGTATACCTTCATGCACAGGCAAATTCCTATAGTTTAAATGACTCAATCTTGTTATAGCAGCCTCAGCAGACACATGCATACCCTAAATGAAAATATGCACCTACTAATTCCCTCTTGACCACTAACTAGTGGGCTTTGTCCCTATTGCTTTGCTTATTTGGAAGCTTCATATGAATGGAATGGTATACCTATGATCCAAGGTGGCTGTCTTCTTTTACACAGTTTTGAGGTTCATCCATACAGTAGTGGGTCTCAGTATTCTAATATCCTATTGTACATCCTTGATTATCCATTGTGAGTATACTGTGTTTTGCGTACCTGTTTACCACCTGGTGGAATTTGGGCCATTAGCCTCTATGAACAGTGTTATTTCAAGCACACTCATTTGAGCCTTTGTTTTTGACTCAAATGAGTATAAACCTCGGAAGGAATGGTGACATATACTACTTCTCTGATTATCTCCTGAGAAACACCAAGCCATTTCCCACAGTGGCTGGGTCATTTGCTATGCCTACTAGTGATCATGAGGGCCAGGGCTCTGCAGACAGAAGAGAAGGTGTTTCTCCCTGCAGGGTTTCTCCCACTGGAGATCCTTGTGTGGCTGGGAGGGTTGGCAGTGTCCCTTAGTCCCATGTGGACTGTCACTGCAGAAGAGGGAGATGAGGCCTGGTCTGGGGCTCTCAAGGGCATTCTCAGAGGCTGGATAAGGAATTCTCAGACTCACTTTCCTTCCAGAAGAAGGGGGACAGAGCTGGGCACCCAGGGGCTGCTGTCCAGCCAAAGGGGCACAGTGCAGAGAGGCTCTGATATGCTCCAGCACCTAGGAGTCACTAAAGAAAACAAATATGCAGAGGGGATATCATGGAGCTTGAATACTCAGACTTCAGCTCACAAGTGTCCACTTTGAGCCACAAGCACCAATATTTTTGTTTGTTTATTTGAGATCGGGTCTTGCTATGTAGCCCAGGTTAGCCTGAAATTCATAATCCCTCATTTCTCAGCCACCAGGGTGCTGAGATTAGAGGTCGAGACTCCTACTTCTGATTACCAGTCTTGAACCATGACCCTGAACCCTGAGCCATGAAAACCCATCTCGAGTCATGGGTATCCACCTTGAATTATTGGTCCCCTGTCTAAGGCATGAGTGCCTACCTCAAGTCATGAGGATCTACCTCAGACCATGGATGAGCCAGGCCTACAGCAATCTCTCCATCCCAAGTGAGTTGCGTTGCTGATGTATGAGGAAGGATCCCTCCTTACCCGTGTATCCCTTCATCCTTCCCACTCATGCCACTCTCCTCCCAACTCACCCTTCCTCCTGGGCAGCCAAAGAGTTCTGAGAGAGCTTAGCCAGGTTCTTCGCATATTCCTCTTCAATCTTTATCCTGCAAAAGAGGGAAAACATGGTATATCTACTCTGCAATGCAGACCATGGGTTGGACCTGCCACACCCTGCCATGTCTTAGTCTTGTGATGAGACCCTCTGGACATGTGAGTTCTAGAGCACGTGGCTCTTGCTGCTCTGTCTGCTGACACAAGAGGAGCCAACAGTGACAAGCACTGAATGAAGGAATGGGTTGGACTCTGCTTCCCACTTCTGGCAGATGTTATCTGTAGCACTCCAAACACCAGGTTGGACAAAAGAGCCTTCCAGGAACAAGAGAAGCTTGTGACAGACTCCCAGGGATGCCCAGGATGTGCCCAACCCTTCCATTCCTTATTTCCAGGTTCACATACTCCCAGATGGCCTCAGCCCACAGAAACAAGAAGAGAACATCTTCCTCCATTCTCCCACCCACAATGCCTTCAATTGGCAAGCATCGCCAAGGGTGTGCAAGTGTTCTCATGGAAACCAGGTAGGGTCCAGAGCTGCAATCCCATTGGATTTCCCCAGAGGGGAAAACTTCCAAGGCAACTCTCTGGAGCACATTCTATACAGCTAGGCATATCCACATTCTTTGGGCTGTCAACAGCATGTTCATATCCTACAAGGCTCTTGGGGGCATGGTGGGAGGCAGAGTTGTGCTATGACAACCAAAGGCGATCTGAAGGCAGAACCCTAGACAGTCCTTCCACCTTTATTCAGTGAACCGAGGAGTCCCGGGACATAGAATTGCAGCATGAGTTCCCTTCCGGCTAGGGTGCTGAAACCCAAAGGATGCAGGGGCCGGAGAGAGTGACTATGAGGACCTGCTGCAACCTCTGCACAACTGCTCACCCCTCACTTCTGGCTGACGCCTGTCTGAAAGTTCCTGGGTATCATACTAACCCATCTCCATCCTGCCTTTGCCTCCATCCCCAATTATGTGGTCCCTTACCCTGCAACTTCACCCTGGGGCCAAGATCTCCAGAAAGCAAATCTCATCATGCCACAAGGCCAAGGGCACATGCCAAGAGAGGGAGGTGCACATGCCATCTGCCTCCCGAGCCTCTGCTGTGAGCCAGCCTGTATCATCCCTACCTCCTGCCCACTTCCCTCATCCCAGTAAACCCACACGTCCCAGCCCTGCAGCCTGGCTCTCCTGCCTCTGATAGGCTTCCCAAGAGCTCCAAATGTGGGCTGAGAAATGTTCCAGGGATTTGAATTCCCTCCACTGGCTCCCAGAGACCTCAGTGGCCGGAGATGACAGAAACCATTCATTTGCCAACAGGACATTGTTATGAGTGTAAACCATATGCATATTGAGGCTTCAGCTCCTATTGCTTCCTATTTGTCTGTTTTATGCTTCTGTTTTCTTGCATCTGAACAATGCAGGCTTCCAATTTCCTACTAGTTTAATGGGTCATAAAATAAAGATTTGATTATACAAATGGAAAATAGGCCTCCTAAGGAAAAACGGGCTTTAAAAATGCCAAAGCATTATTACCCGATTACTACTGTTATAATGAAGAAATACTTTTAAAAGATCTTTGCTGTTTGCAATGAATATTTCCAACAAGTCTTGGAAACTCTAGCTGGAAAGTTGTGCATATGTTTGTGAAAAAATAATGTGTTAATGTGTGCGCGTGTGTGCAGGTATGTGGGTATACAGATGCATGTGTGTGTGTGTGGTGTATAGACGTACAGGTGTGTGTGTGTGTGTGTGTGTGCGTGCATGCACAAGTATACACGTTTGTAGATGTGCATACATGTATGCAGGTATGGATACACAGGCATGTGGGTGTGCAGGTACATGGGTGTGCAGGTATAGGTGCACAAGGGTGTGGGTGTGCAGAAGCATACATGTGCAGGCGTGTGTACATAGAGGTGTGTGAATGTGCAGGTGCACGGCTCTAAAGCTGCCTGTGCACAGGGATGTGGGTGTGCAGACAGTTGGCTATGTAGGTGTGATGTGTGGGTACATAGGGAAGGGTGAGTGTACAGGTGTGTGGGCATGCAGATATGCAGCACACAGGTATGTAGTCACATGGGGATATGGGGGTATAGACATACAGGTATATAGGGATAGGGGTAAGATGTAAGATGTAGGGGTGTGTGGGAGTACAGGTGCCCAGATGTATAATTGTGTGGGGATTTGGTGCATGGTTATGTAGGTATGCAGATGTTTAGGTGTTAGAGCATGTAGAGGCTAGAACATGTGGGTATGCTGATGTGTATGTGAGCAGGTGTGATGGTGTGTAGGTGCATTTGTGCATGGGCATGCAGGTTATGCAGGGATATAAACGAGAGACAGGGAGGAGAAAGATGGAGGGGACTTCTCCACAGTTCTTCATGTTTTCCATGAACTCAATGTATTGGATCTTTATCTATGACCCAAGCTCTTCAGACACAGGACTATTGGAATCCATAGAGGCAGGGGTGGGATGGGAGGATGGGTCTGTATCTCTTGGCCTGGGAAACAGTTTTAATTAAGAGATGACCTGGAAGGCCAGGAGTGGCACACACATCCAGTCCCAGCACTCAGGAGGCAGAGCAGGTAGACCTCTGAGTCTGAGGCCAGCCTGGTCTACAGAGTGAGTTCCAGGTTACACACAGAGAAGGAGGAGGAGACAGAGGAGGAGGAGATGACGATGATGATGACGACGAGGACGACCTGGAAGGTCATGCTCCTCTTCTTGCCCATGACAAGGGACAGCTTCAAATTAGGGTAAAGGAGTAAAGTGGAGAGACAGCGGGGAGGAGTGGAAACTGACAAATAAGACACATGCCTCTTCCATGGTAGCAGCTACTCAACTCTAGCCTTTTGTTGCATAGGGGTAATGCAGGCATCAAGAGATACTAGGTTTCCAGGATCTAATGTAAAACGTGTGTGTATTTCTTCCCTCTCTCCCTCCCTCCCTCCCTCCCTCCCTCCCTCCCTCCCTCCCTCCCTCCCTCCTTCTCTCCCTCTCTCCCTCCCTCCCTCCATACACACACACACACACACACACACACACACACACACACACACATACACACACACAGAGAGAGCTCATATAGCTCAGTCAAGCCATAAACCTGTTACATAACTGAGGATGACCTTGAACTCCTGATTTTTTTTTTTTTTTTCCCTTGAGACAAGCTTTCTCTGTATAACAGTCCTGGCTATCCTGGAACTCATTCTGTAGACCAAGTTGGCCTCAAATTCACAGAGATGTATCTGTCTCCACCTCCTGAGTGCTGGACTGCTGAGATTAAGGGTACAAAGGATATGAATATTTTTGGATATTGGTTCAAATCTTTAGGAACATTATCCATGCTACACCACACATTTGCTGGCCACATCTGTCTCAGGGCTAAGCACGGCCATCCATCCATTCCCCTGGGGTCCAGGACTCAGAGATTGGCCCTGTGGCCGGCTCCAGGACTGCTTGGGCCTTGGTCTCACCTTTCCCTGATGAACTCAGACATCTCCTTCTGCATCTGCTTGCCTTTCAGTTGCTTCTGCAGCAGTAGTTCAAACCCAGCCACCGTGCCATTGCCTTGTGGGTCTTTCTTATCTGCCTATAAACAAAAGACCAAGTCATCAGGGAGTGGGCTGCATCTCTAGGATCCCTTCCAGATCAGGCCAGGGAGCCTCTGCAGCTTGCAGAAAACCTCACTGAGAAGGGCTTCATGTGCTCTCTTCCCTGTCCTGGCCATAGTGAAACTCTTTTCTTAGCAACACTGACCCAAAACACCTCTCCTGACAGGTAAACCACCATCATGCCTTCTTGAGGCTTCTCTATTACATCATACCCCTCCTGAGACAGACTGTCTCCATTATTCCCTACTGAGGCTTCTCTATGGGTGCTGAAGATGTGCTCACTTCATCCTGTGAATGCTGCATCTTGATAGAAAGGCAAAAGTCACTCAAAAGACTAAGCCCAAACCTGCCTCCCTCTGGGGTAAACAGATTGAATGACTCATTGGTTCAAAGAAAAATCAGCAAGAGAGGTGTGTTCCAATGACTGTGCCAACTTGATATTTCTACTGAGAGGAAAAGGCTTTGATGATCAGGAGAGGAAAACCACTGAGAGACTAGGAGCCAGAGCTCAGCTTAAGAAGCGGACTCTTGACTGAGCACGGTGGCATACACCTGTAATCCCAGCACCTGGGAAACAGATACACAAAAGTGGCCTGACTGTCTCAATATAACCCAAACTAGCAAAAGAAGGACACAGGCTTGCTAATGCAGTTTTCCAGGATGCCAGTGAACAGCAGGCAGGATCACATGCTCTGTCCAGCTCCACAAGTTTTTATTTTTTTTTTTTAAATCTCCCCTCTAGGACATGTACTGGTCCCTAGAGCCCCAAGGATGACTTCTGCACACATGGCAGCCGCTCTTTGTTTCTGCTGCGGTCACCATTCTTCCTCGTCCACTCACTCACCTCTCACCCTCCATTCCCATCTGCAATACACAGAGCAGGTTTCACCCAGTGTTTTCTTAAAACTCTTCAATACCTCCCTACTACAGACAGCAAAGACACAACTTCCTTTAGGCCTACAGAATCTTCCTATCTCCTTATCGCACACATGTCTCTCTCCTAGATCACCTCTCACAGCCCCCAAAGCTTTCATGTCCCCTTCAGACCTCTCTTACAAGCAGGACATCTGGAGTAGCAGGCACTGCTCTACGGGGGCAAGCAGGAACCTTCGCATGCTTTCTAATGGGTACATGATTTGGGAGAAAGAAAAAGCACTATGAAGGGTCAGTATCACTGTAACTTCAAAACACAAGTGTTCTGAATTGGCTCTGGCATTCTTGAGGTGTGAGATTTTACGTGTACATTAAGGCACCATTTTAATGGTGGGGAAAATATACATAATGTCAGATTTTTTTGCTGCCATCATTTCTAAGTGCATATACAGTTTAGTGACACTAAATGTATTGGGACTGAGGTGGTGATATTCTGCCATCCATCACCTGCAGAAACTTCTCATCTTGCAATAGACAACTCTGTCTGTCAAACTAAGCAATATACAAGGGCTTGAGAGCTGGGGATACTAAAAGAGACGATTTATACATCCCTGTCTGCATCAACCTCCTCATGATTCAGTTAGGAAAAGCAACTTGCAAAGAGGCAGAGCATGTGCCCGAGGCCACTCACAGTGATGTCGAGCAGGCCTGGAGCTCAAATTTCTCTATTAAAAGTAATTCTAGTCTCCTGCCTCCATCCAGCTTCCTGGCAATCTGGTTGTGGTTTCCATGTTACTGGGCAAGAAAATCACACAGATTCCCTGGGACTACCAGAATGATCTAGAATCCAGGAAAGTCCTATTTGAGATGCCACACTGGACACCATACCTTGAGGCTTCAACGAGGCCCTTTCTATCCTTCCCAGGTGTCCATTGCTGTTGGTGTCACAGTGGAGGGAAGCTGAGGCAGCACTTACCCAGAAGTAGTCACAATAGCTCCACTCAGTTGGCTTGAGCAGCTGCTGTTCAGGCATTGTGTCTGGGTGAGGGAACGTCACACAGTTTATCTGCAGGGCACAGAAAGGAAAAGAGAATGCTGCACTGTAGGATCAAGTGGGGGAGAGCACAAAGGAGGCCTCCCCAGGGCCACTTTGGTGGAATAACTCATGCTCCAGCCGCCAGTGAGCACATCAAGTAAGAGGCAACAGGCCCTCACACCCATCCTAGAGGCCACAATGAGGGAAACCTCTCTGGTGGGAGTTTAATGGGATCTACCACACTTGTACATGCCTAGGTCCTGCATCCCAGAAAGCATGCTTCTTAGAGGCTGCTACAGATCTATCTGCCCATGTGTGCAGAGACGTATGTGCCTGGTTTCCACTGCATACTGTCTGTGTGGTAAAAGGCTGGACCAGAACTGCACTGTCCAGCACTAGCAGGAGGGGGATTCATAATTAAAGAATGAGATGAGTCAGGAGTGGTGGTGTAGGAGAAGCAGAAGGCTGAGGAATCCAAAGGCACCCGAGGCTAGACAAAGAGATCCTGCATCACACACAAAAGGCACCTGGAGAGGTCGTGTGGAAGGTACATGTATGTATGTATGAACAAAGGCGGAAGTCAAACCTTTTAGGGAAACATGACAACTATCGGGAGGGGGAGGATGGAAGAAGGTCAGGAATCATGGGAAGATTAGCTCTATACACAGCATGTACTGGTATGAAAACGACCTTATAAGACACAGCACAATGAATACATACATACACGGGAGACGAATCAGTGATACAGCAACAACGTTCATCCCTACTGATAAGGAAAAGTACCGGGGTGCTGAGAAGTGCTGAGTAGGTCTGGGCGCACAGCAGGCAGCGTGTAGAATGATTTAGTTTATCACAGTGTGCTCCACCTGTGAAGAAGTGGGGTAATATCTGCATGTCTGGAATATCCTGTGTGGAATCATTCTGGAAGCCAGGAGCTAGCACCCTAATTTGCTTAGAAGAGGGGCTGACTTAGAAGCACCTGAGGGTCGAGGATGTGTGTGTGAGAGGTTTTACTGAGATGGCTGTGGTAGAACATCCACAGTTTAAACAGGCTCTGGGCTGGCCCTTATGATGGAGGGTGTGGTGTGGAAGTTTCTGGGCCATTATAGCTATTGTTAGTGGTGTTAGTGGTCCTCCCTAGCTGTCCCTGCTTTGTTGGAGTGGCTTTGCTGCTGCTTTTGTTGATGTGGTTTCCTCGGCGTCCTCCTTCGACCTCTCCTCACAGAACAGGCATCTGCCAAAGTGGGGTGTTCTGAAAGGAAGAGTGGACCAGGATCCTCCAGGGGGTGGCAGATTGTCATCAAGCTCTGACCTAGGAGGGCCATGCAAACAGCTAGGTACGCCTGTGACACACAATCTACAACTAGGGCAGGAGCCTGTGCCTTGCTTGGGCAGGGTCTGCAGGATGTGGATGTATATCTCATTGGCAGTTCAGATTCCTGCTCCATGTCACCAGACAGAGCTGATTCCAGGTCAGCCAGAAATTGCGGTTTGTATGTTAACTGTCTCAAGTTTTCAGTGGTGATGATTATTTCAGAGATTAAAATTAAAACCAAAAGCCAAACACTGTGTACAACCTGGAAACTCCTATGTCAGCAGAATCAGACTGGGACTTCCAACTTCAGGGCAGAGCACCTGTCAGTCAGTGAACTGCCCTGCTTGCTGGCTGCCAGTAGCAGCAGCTGCCTTCACAGGCCTGGGTGAGGAGACCCGGAAGTGCTAGCCAGAAGGGAAAGGCCTGCTCCTGGGGCTCCCTTGGGGAGATGCATGATGACATGTGGGAAGGGGCCAAGAATGTCACGGTGACCTGGAGAATAAAAGGACTGACTTCTGCTACAGTCAGTTCTGTGGAGTTCTGGCCTGCTGCTAGGAGCTGGGTGCAGAAGGAGCTGGTAGCGTCTCACATCCAACCTCAGGAAAGGGTCTCTCTCCAAACCCTTGGTCTTGGCTGGCCCCCTTCCTGCTGCAAGGTGTCCTGATCTCAACCTACTTTAGGGACCTCAACAGCCTCCCACTGAGTAGATGCTGCTTGGGGCCATCACGAAAACAGGATATGGTGGTTAAGCCGCTGTGGCATTTTTCCTGTTCCAGCCATATTGGTGACACCAGTCACCTTTATTTTGCTTTGTGAAAGCTTTAATATAATTTAATGATATAAGATTTCTAACAGTAAAGTAATCAGGTGCCAAGAATCACAGACCAGGGCTGGTGAGGTGTCTTAGTGGGTAAGAACAATTGCTGTGTAAGCCTGAGGGGCTGAGTTCAAATCCCTAGAACCTGAATGCTAAGTCAGGCATGGCTGCATGAGGCTCCGAGACAGGAGGATTGCCGGAAGCTTGCTGGCTGCCAGCCTAGCTCCATGATTAGTGAGAGACTACCTAAAGGGAATTAGGCTGAGAGTGACAGGGAATGACACATCTTTCCCTGGTCTCTTCATGCATGTGAGTGTGCACTTGAGTGTGCATGCACAAACACACCCATGCAAATAAATAAAGAACCATGGAACCCACAGATTCAAGGTGCAATTACCCGTCATTATCTGGGGGGGGGGTGTGGAAGGGTAGGCACCAGTTCCAGGCCTCACATGGATGGCAAGATTTCTAGATGCCAAGCTCCCTTGTGTAAAATGGCACAGTTATTTGCACATAACAAACATAGACCCTCCTTCCATCTGTAGACTTACAACACTTAATTGGAGCCCAACAGTCATTCTACTGTATTGTTTAGGGAGTAGTAGCAAGGAAATTGTTGCACAATTGAGTACTGGCACAGTTTTCAACCAGGCAAACAGACTGGGAGAGGAAAGGATATATCAGAAAGGAAGGAGCCTCTGTGTGTGTGTGTGTGTGTGTGTGTGTGTGTGTGTGTGTGTGTATGTGTGTTCAAGTACTAGTGCCTCTGTGTATGTGTGTGTGTTCACCCACCTGCATGCTGAGTTTGGCTCAGAAGCAAGAGGGGCTCTGGAAGATGGAAGATGTGCCCAGACATCTGTGCTGAAGGCAGTTAGGCACCAAGTGTCTAGTGTGAGTACGGCATAGGCAGGACAATGCTCTCTGAGTGCCTTCCCAGCCTCACATGGTGGAAGATGCACAGTTTGGAGAGGTAAAAGAATATGACTATGGCCCCAGGAGGGAAAGGCTCAGGACTGCTCTTGACCCCAAAAACAGTGCCAAGGCGAGAATGTGGGGAGCCTGGTCTGAGTGAAGGTGTGTCACTGCACTCTGGGTTGTCTGAGGAGGGAGATGAATGGATTCTGGAGAGCTGGAGGTTGTAGCAGTAGAGAGTGTTGTGAGCGCAGTGTAATGAAATCATGCCCAGGAAGTAATCAGAGCAAACATGTCCATTTGCAACAGTGGTGCAAACACAGACGGGAGGAAACTGAGGCACAGGGTCTGACGGACCACTGTCGTGCAGCTAGAGCGGCACAAGAGGGTGCAAGGCTGGTCTCCCCCTGTGACTTACAGGCCTCACAGCTGGGTTCTTGTGTTCCTGAACCATAAGGCTCCATTAGCAGGGCCATAGTACTCCAGGGACGAAGAGAAAGTGGGACATGTCTTTCTCCGTAGATACCTCCATTCCTTTTCCCTCCTGGTGATTTCCAGGCAGTTGCTAGGAATGTACAGCTACACCCTTAGGAAAGGTATTCCTCTTCCAAAAGCTTTATGGTAGCAGTGGGAGCCTCAGTCCCTCTTTTTTGCTGCACAGTGGACAGCCCGGGGATCTACTTTATGCTCAGAGAGTGCTTATAATGTCCCAAGTCTCACCACATGTGAACTCATGCACGGAAGCACAGAGAGGTTAAGTAACTTAACCCACATCACAAAGCTGGTATGTAGTAGTAGAGCCATGGCCTGAATCCAGACTAGGACTCTGGGTCCTGACTAAGATCCTAATAAACCCTGTCACACTTGACTTGTCCAGCATGCTTGGGCAAAGTGTAGCTCATGCTAAAGACAGTTGGTGAGCAGGAAGCAGAGGAGGTGTGTGTGTGTGTGTGTGTGTGTGTGTGTGTGTGTGTGTGTAGTGTGGACATTCCTACTATCTCCTCCAGGGACCCCCCAGTCTCAGCCACAGTCACATGGAGAAACAACCCTGCCCCCAGCCCAATGGATGGGACGCTTCCTGAAGTTGCTGCTTGGCTAAGGCACTCTGCAGGATCATGAGGGTTGTTCCCAGACATTTACTGAAGGTACAAAAGGGCAGCAGCAGCTGGTAATGCATCTGGCTGAGGCACAGGGATGAAGGACACATGTGTGGCCCAGCTGAGGGGCTGATGTAGGGGACTGGAGCACCTGCTCTCATTGCAGGGCAGTATAGTCTATGTCCAGGGGTGGGATGACAGTCAGTCTCCTTCCAGCCTTCAGGGCTAAGGTGGTATAGTTTGATAACCCAGGCTGCTGCTAAGGACTCTGTGTGACCCTGGCCGGGGAAAGTGAGAAGACAGGAAGGGACCCCTTTCCAGCTCTCCTCCAGCCACTTACTCCTTCCCAAGATGCCATGACTCCAGACAGGTTATACTGGGCATCCAAGCGGAGGGCCACAAGGTCCTCTAATTCCTCCCTCCAGGAGACTGTGCCTGGTGCCTTCCCTGTCATCATTACTCAGATCTACTTGATGTGTCAAGTTTGTGCTGAGGGCAGTGAGCGGCCATTAGTGCCTGTCACTCCCAATCAAACTGTGCCCTGCCCCCACCTGCCAGCCCAGCACGCTGACAGCAGGAATGAGACCCAGGCAGGGCTGGCAGCCATGCCGCTGCTGCCAGGGGGTCCATGTGCCAGCTCTTCCAAACTAGCTCTGGGCCAGAGAGCTTCAGAAGCAGCTCAGTCCTTCCTTACTGCTTGACTGAGGACATGCACCCTGCACTGGCGGGGTCTGGCAACGGCTGCCTCCCAGGTCAGACAACATGGAAATTGTTCACCACATCCCCGTATTCCCTGAGATCAGGAAGCAGGTTTTCATCCTTCTGGGAACAGGACAGCCCCATCCCCTGAAGATGTGGTGAGCTGTACCGGGTTTGAACTCGGAGCTAGGGGCTGGGGTATGGAGACAGGGTACCACGTGAGGGAAAGAGTGATTCAGGTCTTCAGCCTGAAGTGATGAGGGGTTAGATTATCTAAGGGGTGCAGGGCCAAGACCCAGGTTGGCAGTAGGGAGACCTGGATCTGAGCCCCAGGTTTTCTTTCTCACTTGCTATGGGACCTGTAGCCATTCCCTCCTTTGCTCAGTTTCCTCAGCAACAGTTCTCCAAGGTGTGTGTGTTTACATCAGACCTCTAGAAGTGTTGACAGAAATGTAGTTTTCCATCCTTGCCCCCAGAAAGACCAACTACATTTGTTGTCAAGAATCCACACCTTACACAGTGTCTCAGGAGCCTTGACTACCAGCTGCATGCTGCAGACCATCTCATGAGATGTGCTAACATAAGTCAGAGGGAATGACCAGGCAGGAATGACAAGGTGTGTCACTTAGTGACAAGCTCGGGTCTATACTCAGAAGTTCTCTGACTGCAAGGACCCAGCAGTGGCCTGACTCTGTGGCCGAAAGCCATCACTGTGTGTGTGCCTTTAAGACAACTAGCCAGTGCAACGCTGCCTGTCATTCTTCACTTCCAATGTTTGTTTCTAGAAAGTGAAAATGTGTCTCTCTCTTATTTTCTCTCCCCCTTTCCTCCCCATTTCTGGGTCTCTGAGGAGTTCTCATCTTGCTTTGGCATTCTGGAACATTTAATAACAGTGTGAAGATAGGAAGCAGGCCCTCCAGAGCCTGAGCCTAGGCTGGCCTACGCCCTGCTAGGTTCCTCAAGATTCTCTAGATAGAGAAGTTGTGGTTGCTGTGGGGTTGCAGCACGCTGAGATGCCCTGCCCAATTTCCAGGAGACCCAAGTAGGGTTAAGGCAGGGTGATGGTTTGAGGGACCTAAGTTAGCTCAGGAAGGGCACTGCCAGTGGGCAAGAGCTGAGTTTTTTTAATCTCGGAGCCTCCTAGCTGGGTCTGAGCCCCCATCGCCTCAACTGTTTACACTGTGATCACACTGATGCGTATTGAGCACCAAGTGTGTACCAGACACTGTTCTAGGTGCTTTACAGCTATGGACCAATTCATCCCAACTCTCCCATTGCTGAAGCGTTCGTTTCCCTGATTGGCAGAAACAGGCACCAGCAGAGACTGGGAAACTTGCTCAAACTTTGTCACAGCTTCGTGAGTGACATAGGTGACACTCTAGCTTCAGAGTCCTGGTGTATGGTCACTCTGGAGGGTTGATTCTGTTAACCACAGCTCACATAGCAGGAAGCAAACAGCCCCCGGGAGCAGTCCTGGTATGTTCTGAGTGGGCATCAAGGTATTGGCAGGTATTATGGTTGCTATTACTGTTTGTTTGGCTCTCTCTTCCCATCAAAGCAAGATGGTCCACCACAGCAATGCACCCTGGCACCCGCTCGGGTTTTATCTTTGCAGAGGTGGTCAGAGAAGCTCAGAACAGGGTGACAAGGAGCAAAAAGACAGCAAGTCCCTGTCTGTGTCTCTTTCATACTCATGCCAGGATAGCAAATTTGCATAGACCTCACTTCTCATCTCTCTGGGTTGTTGGCCAAGAATCTAGGCAGCTCCCTCCTTAGAGTAGAGGGCAGGGATGTCCCAGCCCCAGTACACCACAGAGTTAGAAGGGAGGAATTAGGGCCCATACTCCATCCACACACAGGTACCTGGGTGGCACTAGGGGGATCCCTGAGAATCTAGACAGAAGCTTTTCATCAGGGACTCCCAGAAATGCTATTTGTAGGGAGCTGTTTCTTGCTTTTAACTTTGACATCTTCCAGAAGTTTCCCTGCACAAAAGCAGCCCTGCGGTGGCTGTAATTTCCATGTCACATCTCTGCACACAGCACACTCCACCCCCTTCAACTCGCTCCCCCACACGCACCTTCTCCTGCCCACCACACAGAAACAGTTTCTACCTCCCTACAGCCTCCTGCCTTCCACCCTTTCCTTCACCAGGAGAGAGCAGGCAAAATGGGAAACACAGAAGGAGGGGACAGGGGCAACTTCAGCTAAACCCAAGCTTTGTCTGGAACTTCTCTATTTCCTAGTGAGCATCGATTCTGGTTGGCGGTCCACGTTGCCATGGCAACAGTTCAGTTGTGGCCCAAAGCCCCAGCCCGGAAGCCCTCCCCACCAACAGTGAGCCACTTACTGTGATGGTGTTCTCCTTGCTCTGTTTTTTGCCTGGCGAGGAGGATCCCAGGTTCTGGGGAGAGAGGTGAGACACATCATCAAAGCTGTTCTCCATGTTGGACATTTTTTCCCCCATTCCCGTTCCCCAGGTGGGTGGAGGGATTGGTTAAGAACCCTGAGCTGGGGAAGTTCAGGGTGTCAGCCTGCTGTTAACTCCTGAGTCACCATATTCTGGGCCAGGGCAGGCAAGTGCATCGTAGAGCCCAAGCTGCTCCAGAGTGCTCAGGCGCCAGGCAAAGTGGAGGAAAGCTGAGTTCCAGCTCCCGGGAACGCAGCAAACCAGGTCTCCCCTCCTCTCCTTTCCAACTGGGATTTAGGGGACGTTAACCCCTCCGCTGCCCTCTGCTGGTAACCAGACCACGTTGCCAAAGCAGAGGAGTGGAATGGCAGGGGAACAGAGAGTTAAGGCAGATTTTAGGCCACCCCCCACCCCTAACCCAGCACAGAAGATTCAGCACATGACATCTCATTCTGAACCCCCCTGAGTCCGTAATACCAAATGGTGATGCGCACAGAATGAGCACAGGGCGCTGCTCCGCCACCTTGGCAAAGTGCCACTGTGCCAGTGCCCGGGAGTCACAGTGGTTTCACACAAGCCGAATATCCTTCCAGGGTGACTTTTTGTACTGTCCCCATTGTCAGAAAGAAAACTGGGGTCCCGCTGACCCCTGTACCCACAGGTGATGGCCAGAATCCCATGATTGTCTTGGTGGAGATGGTCAAGAATGGCCAGCTTTTTTAAAATCCACACTTGCCAGGTGGTGGTGGCTCACGCCTTTAGTCCCAGCATTCAGGCAGAGGCAGGTGGATCTTTGTGAGTTTGAGGCCAGCCTGGGCTACAGAGTGAGTGCCAGGATAGGCTCCAAAGCTACACAGAGAAATCCTGTCTCAAAAAACCAAAACCAAAACAAAAGACCACATTTGACATGAGACAATGTTCAGTCCAGAGACTTTAGCAGTCACTCTCAGGATTCAACTTCTGGCTCTCCAGACAGGATCTTGGGCTGCCACTTGTCTTGGGTCCCACAGTGTCCTTGAAAACAGCCCCCAGTGGATGATCACACTGTGTGTGTGTTCTGGGGGCTGGCATGGGTCTAAAAGTATGAAGTGCTTTACCAGTGAGCCTCTGGGAAGCCAGATGACTCCACCCATCTTTATATAGCCATATAGCCCTGGACCCTGACAAGGTAGCACCTGCAGGTGGGTTGCTCCTGCATCAGGAAGCCATCAGCAAAAGCCATCAGGCCAAAAGGAGCTCACCACAGACCCTCCCCATGGACAGCCTTGCCACCTTGCTCTGGTTGATAAAGGGCCTGTTCAGAGAAAAATCATATCCTGGAGGTCTTGGTGAAAAGCAACCTTAAGGAGCATTCATTTCATGGATGACTAGCTTTGAGATGAAGGCCACGGAACTGACTTCCTGGAACCTAGGGGTTTCCATCTGTAAAATGGACCATGGTCACTGGTTCTCACACAGCTCTGGGTGGCCCCTGCGCTGAGCATCTGGAGACTTTGCTGGAGGCACACTGACCTGGCCAGCTTCCATCATTTTGTCCAGCATCTCCTTTTAGAGCAGCTCCTCGGCCATCCTGACAGGCTACGGAGTGATGTCAAGCTTGTGGTCAACTGTAGCTTCTATATGTGTTTTAAAGCTACTTCCATATCCAACTGGCCTAGCCTATGCCCTTTCCAAGCTATTATTTCCCCTCTGGGACGGTCAATAAAGAGCCCTGGGTGCCAGTCACCAAGACAAGGTAGGGACAGGTTCCCTCCATGGTTCTTTCACACAGAGACACTGGCCAAGCCCATACCTGCCAAGAAAGGGGCAGTTCCGCCTCACAGCTACATTCTCTTCTTTGCAAGTCTCCCTGATAGGCACCAACATTAGGGTACCACCATCATTGTGTGCCTACTGCAGTTCAGGATTGGCCATGGGCAGCCAAGGGGCTAGGGGCCTTGGCCATAGTCTGTTTATGGCTGCTGTTATTAATGGAGCTGTGAGGGACTAGGAGGCAAGAAACCCTACAGGATTCACCCTCTAGTGGTGGCTTTTGTTATTCCCCACTGAGAGAATGAAGGTTCTCAGAAACACAGCATCTTACTGTGCCAACAAATACAAGAGAATTCCAATAATGATGGAGACTTAACAAAAGGGTAAAGGAGCTGGTCTAAAGATGCCCCACCCATAGGACACAGTGGTGGTGGGGGGCACCTGAGCTCAATAATGACCACAATGGACCTGATCTACAGTGGGCAGAGGGAACATGCTGTTCCAGAAGAACCCATGAAAATGTATGCAGACTTCACCGCTTGGAAATCCCAGTGTCAAAGGGGGGGGGGGGTTAGACTGTGATTGTCACAGATACTAAAAGCAGAGAAGACTGTCAGGAGGCAGGACAGTAACATAGTGTCACACTGGTGCTCCACAGGTTACTGACCAATCAGAAAGAAAAATGAATGAAATTTATCTAGTAGTGATTACAGTGACCTGGAGTCTCCCTATCAGGGCACAGACGAGATGCCACAGGAAGCAGTCAGCTCACCCCATACAGGGCTCCTGTCAAACCCCAAGCTTGCATCTAAGCACGAGAAAGCAAAGAGATTAAGAATGTAGGTCAGCCTACAAGACAGTGACCTGGAGTCTTCAAAACATGAACTAGAAGTCAGTGTGAGGGCAGGTGAAAGAAAAAACCCCGGGACATCAGTCTAGACAAAGACATCGAAGCAAGAGAGATGGATAAAACCGATAGAATCATGGCATACTATTCAGCTGTAGGAATGAAAGTTGAGAACACTCAACACAGGCATCAAAAACATCCCAAGTGAAAGCAATCAGCCACACACAGCTGGCCTTCCTGCAGATAAAACACCGTAAAAAGACAGCTTGGAGTCAGAAAGTAGGCTAGTAACAGCCCATGGCTTGGGGGAGGCAGAGGAGTGACGGAAATTCTCTAAAGTTCATTGTGATGAAGGATGCACAACTGCGAGTTCACTAAAAACAATCAATGAATTGCCTGGCCCACTCCCCTGTCCCCTCCCTCCCTATCCCTCTCTTCCTTTCACAGGACCGGGAACTGATCGCTGCAGCCCCAGACTGTATTTTAAATGATGGAACCACATAGTAATTATTTGCATCTCAACAAAGTTGTGTTTGAGAGAGAGAGGTAGATGGACAGACAGACAAAGATAGACAGAAGCTAAAGAGACAAAGTAACCAACATTTTCACGCTAGACACTTAAATGGATCCTGGACTGGGGAGAAAAAGCAGGTGTAAAGGCATTTCAGGGTTCACTGGAGGACTGGGCTATGGAGTGATACGGTGATGTTATTGGGCTGGTGTTTTCTTGGGTGTGGTAACGGTGCTTGGATGTCTTTCCCCTTTGATCTGCAATTAGAAATACTTGCATTTAGAGCAGTGGTTCTCAACCTGTGGGTCATGACCATCGGAAAACACACTTTTCCAAGTGTCTTAGGAACTGAGACACCACTCAGTAGCAAAGGTACAGTTATGAAGTAGCAACAAAAAGAAATGTATGGTTGGGGGTTCCTAAGACCATGGGAAATATGTGTTTTCCAATGGTTGCGACCCACAGGTTGAGAACCTGTGATTTGGAGCAAGAAGTCAGGAATTTTGCTCTAGGTAAAGGGTGGAAGTGTCGAGCATGAGACCAGTCATGAACCAATGCTGGCCCAATGCCAGTGACATGATGGGTCCATGGGACTTGGTCACAGCAGGTCCTCAGCTTTCATAAATTTAAAGATCCCATCAGCAGATACTTTCACGTTTTCCCCTTTGCCTACTATTCCAAAGAATTATCCTTTTGTAAGCTTTTGCTTTTTTTTCTGGACCCAGTGCTCACTCCGTAGCCCTGGGTAGCCTTGAGCTAGAGATTCAGTGATCCTGATTTGTGCATTGCTTGCTTGAGTCTCCTCAACTTTGACTGAATTGCCAATTGAACATCCCAGGGTCCTGACTACCTGAACAACTCTGTTGTCACCAAGGACACACACACAACTTGCTTAGCTGTGAGTGACTTCATGAGGGGGTCAACAGCCCCTCTTCCAAATGTCTTTTTAGCACACCCCTTTCCAAAGATCTCATGGATCCTGTGCCTTTGGCAGGGGATTTCCTATAGGAAAACCCTCTTTAGTTCCCAACACTGTTGGCATGAACCTGGGCTCCTTGTGATGGGCCATGCAGACCCCTCCAGACCCATCTTCTGCCCTCCTACACCCGCTAATTTAGTAAGTCATACCATGATCTACACTTGGCCTCTATGGGTTTTTTTTTTAAGTGTCACCCTCCTTCCTGTCTCTGGGCATCTAAATGCTGTCACCCTCTGTCTAGAACACCATCCCCTACCCCCACCTTTTTGTCAACCAACCCTTGGTGCAGCCTTCCACTCTTTAGCCTGGCATCTTTTCTTAAGAAGCCCATCACTGCTTGCTTTCAGCACCTCTAGTTTGGCTTCTCGTTGTGCACATTTCCTCCTGCCCTTACCACTGATGGAATTATACAACTGTTGACCCATTGTCCTCCCACAGCTAGGGCTGAGCCTTTCTGTGCCTCAGAACCTTGCAAAGACCTAAACGCGCGGCGGCACATGTGTTACTGAAGTAAAACCCCAGGGAAGGACCGCAGAGATGCAGTGTCTCAGCTATTTCTCTGCTTAAACTGCATTCTTCAGCACATCCTGTTAGGTGTCCACACTCTGAGTCCTGAGCCCCTACTCTTTTCCTTTTGTCTTCTGGGGTTAGTCACAAAGCCAGAATGATGGACAGATGGATTACAAGAAGGTCCGGGTAACTGTGCGCAGGGGAAAAGATGCACAGGCTAGGATTTGCTTTCACCCGGTTGGCGAGGCTATTATCCTTTGACCCCTGGGTTCTCTCCCCACCAAGAAGGTGCCTTTTTATCCAGAACCCAGGAGGCAGCATCCTTGGTGACTGAAGTGCTGAAGCTGTCCACTGGGCGGCACCAGACCACCACCACCTGTGCCTATCCACCCTGGTCTAACAAGACTGGGCAATGGAGAAAGCATTAAAAGTGCCCCAGGAGCTCCAGGTTCTATTTATGACCCAGAATGGTAGGGCCATTAGATGTGCCCGCCACCTCCCTGCTACCATTCTTTCCCATTGGCTTGCTCAAAGAGAGAGAAGCCAGCCGGCACTTTGCAAATCTGGGCTTGGTCACTCTGACCCCAAATCCTGCCTCTCAAATTGTCAAGTGGCCCTTCATTCATTCATATTCCAATTATTGTCCATATGCATGCACAAGCCAGAGACTGAACCCGGGCCTTGGATACAGCAGATAATTCCTCTACCACTGATCCATGTCCCCAGTCCTCAGTTATCACCAAGAGCAATTGTGAGTTGTGACTGACATCCTGGGATGGAGAGTAAACCCCTGTACATGAAGAATGCTGTGTATGCTTAAACATCTTCAGGGCCCTGCTGTCTTTAAAGGGAGACTCTCTCAACCTATTTATGGTTAGCTTTTAGAATTCTTGTGATAATTAGCTTCAGCGGTTCACACATGGATTAAAAAGTAGCAGCTTCAGTATTCAAATGCTGTCTTTTCACAGCCTAAAAGAATCCTAAAGTTCTGGGATGTAGGGAGTAGATGCAGATTTGTCCTTTCTATGTATACTACTCTGTTCATTTTTGTGTCTTTGACGAAGCTTGAACTTCAGGATTATCATCCAAAAAGAATATTCTGCTAACCTGACTGTGTGTGGCTGTCACTGTCTACCAGGCCTGGACCTAGGAGCTGGCCTTCCCCAGAAACCCAGCACCACATGCCCTCATTAACTGTGTGTGTGTGTGTGTGTGTGTGTGTGTGTGTGTGTGTGTGTGTGTGTACACATACATGCACACATATGTGAGCATACACAGGGTGTGGCAGAGGTCATTACAAGTCATTCACTACTTTGTTTCCAGAGACAGTGTCTGTCATTGCCCTGGAGTTCACTGACAACACTAAGCAGCCTGGCCAGTGACCACCCCCCCCATCCTCCTGTCTCCACTTTCTAGGGTTACAAGGTCAACCCATGCCTGCCCTCTCTGTGGGTGCTGGGGATTGGACTCAGGTCTTCAGGCTTGCACAAGAAACACTTCACCCTCTGAGCACTCTCCCCAACATCCAAATTTTATTCTCTTAAATAAAAAAGGAAATCTGTCTTTTATAGAAGTGAAATGTGTTGGTCTTAGGAAACTTGAAGAAAGTAGAAATGAAATAAAAATTACTCATGTTCTCAATGTGATTTGTATTCTCTCTCTCTCTCTCTCTCTCTCTCTCTCTCTCTCTCTCTCTCTCTCTCTCTCTCCATGGCTTCTCTGTGTAGCTTTGGAGCCTGTCCTGGAACTCACTCTGTAGACCAGGTTGGCCTTAAACTCATAGAGATCCATTGATGTACCCTCTCCGGTGGTGACAATCAAAATCAAAGACACCACCAAATGTCTCCAGTGGAGAAACTCGGGCTGAGCTGCAATTAGGTCACCATGGACTATCTGGTCTTTCTTCTTCTCGCTTCTTCTAAATAGAATAGGACCATATTCCCTTATTCACACACTCACACACATATGCATACACATGACAGACATACATGTACACACACATACACACATGCACACACACATGCACACATGCACACATGAGTACAGGTTCTCATGGAGGTAGACTTTACTAACGCTGCTAGAGTTACAGGTTATGGTAAGCTGCCTGATATGGGTGCTTGGAATTGGACTCAGGTCTCTCCAGCCCCTCCACTTGATTTAAGTTGGAAGCATTTCCTGAGTCATTACAGTTTCTTCAGGGCAATGTTTTTTAATGGTTGTGTAATATCACCAACTGGCTAGACATCCAGCACTGAAAGCCATTTTGCCCATCCCCTATGGCTGGACAGTTAGATTGGGTTCAGTGTTTCAGGGGTATAAATAATGCTTGTATGAATGGCCTTATGTATAAATCAGAATTTGTATAAATATCTGAATATTCTCCAAGAACAGATATAGGTGGAGAAATCCCCCTGTCCAAGACCTACAGCACAGTTACATCTGCTTTCGAATTCTAAGCTGCCCAAGAAGCAGGTATGTGTTAAATGCTTGAGTAGGAGCCTCACAGCCCTTCTGGGGGCTGGGGAGTCACATCTCAGTGGGGAAGGAAGAATGGGGAGCTGTTCCCAGCATCCTTCCTCATGGTGCTGGGGTAGCAGCTGTGGTTTTATTGTGATTCAAGTGTAGCAGGACAGGCTCATATCTTCAGAAACACTCTCAAGTCAGATGATGAGTCCTTTTTTCTTCCAACTCACGGATCCATTTGTGGAGAAGGCTATTGGTGGCTCACCAGGATATGCAAAGTCGGGGTTGATTAATGACAAGTGATGTGTGTGTGTGTCTGGGGGGGGTGGCCAGACACAGAACTGTGTACTGTTCACTAGCCAGACATGGTCTCCAGTAGCAGCACTGCACGGTCTCCATTGGCACCTGGGGGCTGGCTGGGAATGCACACCCTGCTCATGTCAGATCCCACCCAAGAGGCAGGAGACTTGAAAGGCCTCCCTCACACTGAGCCTAGAGTTCTCTGCTGCCACAGTTTACTGAAACTGGGCTCAATCAATGCTCAGCCCCCTGAGAAAACAACTTACTAAGCTTCCAAACTCAGCACCCTTTGTTGCATTGTAGCTGGCTGTCACTCACAGAGCATTCATAGGCCACAGCATACACAGCTATCATTCTCAGCAGTATCTCCTCCATGGCCATCAGCCACCATCACCATCACCCTTGTAGCCTGCCACAGTGACTCTTGAGAAAGTATGATAGGGCTTTGGGAGTTTCCTTAAGAAAGTCTTAATTTAGTCTGGGTGTTGGTGGTGCACACCTTTAGTCCCAGCACTTGGGAGGCAGAGGCAGAGTTTGAGGCCAGTCTGGTCTATAGAGCGAGTTCCAGGACAGCCTCCAAAGCAGTACAGAGAAACTCTGTCTCGAAAAACCAAAACCAAACAAACAAAAAAAGGAAAAAAAAAAAAACCAAAAAAACAAAAAACCCTCTTAATTTGTGAGACTATCCGCCCCCCCCCATTAGATGCAGCTTTTTGCAAATAAGGAAATCAGGATATTTTATTATTGGGTCCATATGATATTCGACTCAATCTCATGAGCTTGTTCCTCTGTGGTCCCATGCTCATGAGGATACTATCCCATCTCATGATGTTCATATGGGTCAATTTGGATGGTGAATGAGAGAGCAGTTTGGGAATCTTGAAATAAATTTTTAGCTGGGTATACTGGTGCATGGCTGTGACCTCAGCACTTGGGGGGGCTAGAGGCAGGAGGATCAAAATCTAGGGGGCAACCTTGGCTATGTAAGATCCTGACTCAAAAATGAACACACATACAAGCCTTTGCACCCTACAGTGATTTTCATGCTGTGTTAGTGAATGAGAAGGTCACATTTTCCTAAATTCCATTCTGGGTGACTGAGGATGGGCATAGCACAGGACTACAAGGACAATGGCCTGGCTGGCTCACACTGCTAACTTGACAGGAAATCTGGACTCTGTTGGATTTGTGGCTAGCAGAGTAGATCTCTCCGCCTTGACAGTTATAATCCATTATCCCCTGTTCCAAATTTCCCTCAATTTCTAGAAAACCAACAAACTGAAATTCTGCAAACCCATCCCTCTTCAAGAACTGTTAGGGCAACTCAGAGATACTTTCCACTCATGGCAGAAAAGGGCCACAGTCCCTGACTCCCAAGTCTATCCTTCCTGAGCTAGACACTCAGCTGCCCCTACCGCCCTTGGCAGCCCCTTACCTGGGAATCACCGGTGGATTTTCGGAGACTCATGTGGGCAGTCTCTGGAGGGTGCGCCGGGGTCCCTGTTGCGTGGTATCCATTCACTGTGGGGACAGAGACACAGCTCAGATGCTGCAGGGGCCACAGACAGGCACCCTCAACTTCCGGCCACAGCAGCCCTTTCTCTCCCACCTCATCCCAGGGTTGCAGGGGGTCTTATGTGCCAGGGTCCATCTTTTGGGATCTGATATGCAGATAAGAGCTAGGAAAGAGTGGAAAGCTCCAGATCCTGGCAGCCAGTGTCCTAAACTCTCAGAGCCCAGCTGCCACCACAGGTGCTGACGAGGAGTCCTGTCTCTTTCTCCTGAGTCAGGTGGCTCACACACCACAGGCCTATGAGTCCTCTTCCTCCCTCTGAGGGATTTTTCTACCCTCAGTCTCTGAATGCTGTCATGTAATTAAGGGTGAATATTCTTTTTCAGAAATGGTTGGGATCAAAAATATTTCAGATTTTGGACGTTTTAGGACTTGGAAATGTTTTACCGGGTATATAGCACCCATCCAAAAGAGGCAAACTCTGAAACACCCTTCAGCTTGACTGGATTTGCAGTTACTAGGACACACACCTCTGGGCATTACTGCAAGCATGTTTCCGGTGAGGTTTGCTGAGAAGTCTGAGATTGGCTGAAAGTCAAGGCCGGGTCCTGAAAAGCCTGATGAGCAGACTGACTTTCATCTCTCTCTGCTCCCTACCAACAGATGCAATGTGGCCAGATGCCTCATATGCCCTCAGTCTCCCTTCCCTGTGGTGTGGTGATGGACTGCATCTCTCCCCCAAAATGAATAAAAATAAACCCTTCCTTTCTCGTGTGTGTGTGTGTGTGTGTGTGTGTGTGTGTGTGTGTGTGTGTGTGTGTGTGTGTTGTATTTCCCGGGTCAGCCTCTGGTGTTGCTTCTCAAGAGCCTTGTTATTTTGAGGCAGGGTCTCTCATCAGGACCTGGGCTCATCAGTTGGGCTTGGCTGATGACTCTCAAGCCCCAGAGATCTGCTTGCCTCTGCCTCCCCAGTGTTGGGGTTACAGACACACATGGCCGCATGTGGCTTTTTTATGTGGATGCTGGGAATGAAGTTCAGTTCCTCATGCTTGTATAACAAGCACCTTCCCCAGTAAGCTGTCTCTCAGCCCCTTAAGTTGCTTTGCCATGTGGTTTTGTCATAGCAGTGAGAAAGCAACTAATACATGCTCTCACATCCAAAGCTGGTAGGTATATTTGTGTTCAAAAATTTTAGATTTTGGATTCGGGGGATAGGATTTTCAACCTGGGTAATGGAAATAGGATGGGATGGACTAGTCATGAAATTTGGCTTTATTAATAAGTGATGATCAACTACATGAATTTTTGAGCTGCAGTTTTCCTACAACAAAAAATAACAGGGCCTGATGGCTCACACCTGTCATTCCAGAGTTCAGGGGGTTGAGACACCAGTGAGTTCTGGACCAACCTGGGCAACTTAATGAGATGATGTCTCAAGACAAAAAATAAAAAGAGGCAGGTGTGATGACACACGAAGAGCCTGTGAGTTCAAGTGAACTCTACATAGTGAATTCTAGGTCAGCCAGGGCTATACAATGAAACCTTGTCTCAACAAAACAAAGCAAAAGTGAAAATAAAAATTTTAAAAATGTTGGAGATTCGGCTTGGAGGTAGAATGTCTCTAGCATATACAGGAGTCTGGGCTCAAGCCTTAGAAGAACACTTGCATTTGTACATACATGCATACATACATACATACATAACACACACACACACACACACACAGAGAGAGAGAGAGAGAGAGAGAGAGAGAGAGAGAGAGAGAGAGAGAGAGAGAGTTTTGAAGTCCCACCTCTCTCTAGAATGCTTCTAGTCCAATTCTTGGGCAAACCTACTTATATCCCCACTGAGTACTGATACGTCTCCTTTCATGGGGTATGGGAAATCCTGATTGCAATGTCTTCTTATTGCTGTGGCTAAACATACTTGTCACTTCCACCTTCAAGCCTCAGCCTTGCTTCCCATGCCTGATCTTATGGGTTCACACTGGGACCCACACTCTTCCCCAAAATCATGAGTTTAGGGAAGCCATTTCTCTTTGGTGTCAAGGAAATGGGTGTGATTCCACAGTCTCCAAATCTGCTTAGTAAGTGTATCCGAAGGAGGTGATGAGCATGAAAGAGACTTGTGTCTTCTACAGGACTTCCTTTAAAAGGAGAGGAGGAAAGTGGAGAGGTGGCTCGAGGTGTGTGTGTGTGGGGGGGGGGGGTCAGGCACTTAGTGCTCTTGCAGAGGACCTGGGTTCATTTCCTGACATCCACATGTAGGTCACTTCCAGTTCCAGGGATCTGGCGTGCTCTTCTGGCCTCTATGAGCAGCACATACATGTGATGCACTTATGTGCATGCAAGGAAGGTACACAACTTTAAAAGGGGCAGGGAGAGGAGAGTAGGGATGGTTGCTGTCTTGGCTGGATTTTATCCTCTGAGAACCACCAGCTTGCACCACCTCTAGAAACTGGAGAGTTAAACTGTCCTGATGCCCTAGGCTGGGCAAGACTGCCAATGTGTACACGTGGTGGATATATTATTTATGATCTATTAAAGCTTGCCTGAAGGTACAGAAAGCAAAGCTAGCCACAAGCCACAGAGTCAGGCAGTGGTGATACACAATTTTAATCGCAGCAGCCATACTAGCATGCCATAGGACCAGGCAGTGGTGGTACTCACCTTTAATCCCAGGACTCGGGAGCCAGAGGCAGATGGATCTCTGTTAGTTCAAGGCCACTCTGAGCTACACCATATTGATCCAGTCTAAATAGAAACAGCTTACACAAAGGTGATCTCACAACTTGGGGTCACATGCCTTTAACACCAGGATTTGAGGGATATAAGAGAAAGAAAAACAATCAGTCTTAGAATTAGTCTCTAGCCACGATGAGGAGAGCACAGCAGTCTGAGTGAATCTGAGGAGCAGTGAGGTTGGTAGCAGTTTGAGGATCGCCCCTTTGGTCTGAGGTAGCTGCTTTGCTTTCCTGATCTTGAATCTCAATATGCGTCTCTGGATCTTTTATTTTTCATGTTACAGATATACACACATACAAAGAATAGTTGGAGGACTACAGTAAGGCATAGGAACTAATGTCCAATTCACAGCTCTTCCGGAAGTTCTGCGAGCAGGGGGCAGAAGAGAACACATCTGAAAGTCCCCAGCACCTACTATAGTCAGGGCATCCCATGTGCATGGAGACTTCCCTCACAGGCTCATGTGTTTGAACACTGGCCCCTTAGCTGGAAATATTGTTCTGGGAAGCCATGAAGCCTTTGGGACATGAAACCTAGCTGGCAGACACAGGCCACCTAGAAGTGCACAGGGCTTGAGGGTTGCCAGCTAGCTGCATTTCTAGCTCACCCCTCTGCTTCCAGCTACAGATGTGAGGAATCCCAGCAGCTGGCTCTCAGCGGTGAGATTCACCAGGCTAACCTGCCATGAGAGACCACATCCTCTAAAATGGTGAGCCAAAGCCAGCCCTTCCTAGCCACATTGTTTCTGTTAGGTCTTCTGCCTCAGTGGCAAGAGAAGTAGTGACACGCAGCTCAGAACCCCAAAGTTTTAGAGTTTTCATTTTTATTTTTTAGATTTAGTTATTATGTATACAGTGTTCTGCCTTGACGACAGACAGAAGAGGGCATCAGATCTCATCACAGATGGTTGTGAGCCACACTGTGTTTGCTGGGAATTGAACTCAGGTCCTCTGGAAGACCAGCCAGTGCTCTTAACCTCTGAGCCATCTCTCCAGCGCCACTTGTAGAATTTTTAAGAGTGAAAAATTCTATGACATGAAACAAAGCTTAAAATATTGTGTAAAATTACCTATGGGTTTTCTGTTTATACTTGGAACCCATCCCCCAAATATCTCCTCGTGTATTCCCAAATAGGAAGCATTTCTGGTCTCAAAGCATTTTAACTAAGGGATACCACATCTGGAATGGAGTGGCCAGGGCTGAAGCAAGCCATGGGCAGTGAGTTGGCAAAGACAATTCTAGGTAGAACCTTTTCATGGTGGGTGATATAGCTCATCTTCTATTGCTTGCAGCAAACAATCCAGAGCCATTTGCAAACAAAGCAATGCTCAACTGCCCCTGGACAGTTGGGCTTCTCTGGATTTGTAAGGTCAGCTGTAGACTCTTGAAGAAGTCTGGGCAAGCATGTACACACAGACACAGACACAGACACACACACACACACACACACACACACACCAAGTTAAACACCAAGTTAAGAGAAATTGGTCTATAGCAGGGCCCCATTCAATATGTGGAGAAGAAAGTACAATAATTCTGCCAGGGCCAGCTCCATAGCCATGGTCCTCACTCAGCTCTCAGGTAGTTGGCCAAATGTTAATCATAGCAACCAGATGAGAAAGGCAGCCAGAGAGGAGAATCTGGGACTCTAAAAGCATCAGAAACCCATGAAACCAGCTCAGATGGGCAAGAGGCTTTGTCAGGAAAGCCATTATATCTGACATAGTACATCCACTGCCACAGTGGGATACTGGAAAAAGTTTGCTTATCAAATAGGACAGGGTTGAAATGGATAGACTACAGATGCTGGAACTGGGCATGGCGGTCCACATCTGCAATCCCTGTGTGTGTGTGTGTGTGTGTGTGTGTGTGTGTGTGTGTGTGTGTGTGTGTGTGTGTGTTGCAGGAGGACTGCAAGGTAAACAACCCTCATAGGGAACACCGTGCCTCCAAAAGAGATGCCTGAAAGTATAAGATGGCACATACTTGGGCTCTGGGAATGATTAATAGACAAGCATAAAGACAAAAAGAGATGTAATTTAAAGGACCGGGTGGGGACATGTATAAAACATCTTACCCCATAAACAAAGAGGACAGCATTTGCCAAGAAGCCATGGGATATTTGAAAAGTTAACCACACTTAAGCCACAAATAAACTGCCAGTGCATGGCAGAAGGCATAAATAACTCAGGCCACATTCTTTGACCAGGACACAATAAAAGTGATATTAATAATGAAAAATAAACACACAGGGCTTCCAACCA